GGTATTGAGAGTCGGGATGGTTGTCGTTTCATCCGTTGCCGCATTACCTTTTCAAAACTGAACGTTTTAATTTCACCACGAAAGGCCCACTGAGATATATAGCTCTTTTTCAGAAGCAACCTGGCCACAAATGAGAGCCTAATGAAGTGGCTTATCATGTGGAAATGTATTGCAGCCAAATACTCTAAACGCGTGATGTTGATTCTAAATGTGGAGGGGAAAAAACAGAGTTCCCGGAGAATAATCCACGCGACCACGGGAGGAGAGAGTCACGCAAACTCCAAATATACAGCAGGCGTCGGGATCGGGATCGGGATCGAATCCACAACCCTCCTACTTTACCCGGCGAGGTAGTTAGCATCTCGCCACCGCGGCGGGAACAAAAGCCCCAGTGAATGCGTGCGTCCAAAGTCCTCGCAGAGAAACCCACGCATCCCGGTGCGAATACGCAGCACGGCTGCCATCTACTGGCCCACGCACTCAAAAAAAAGGGGGCTCGACTTTTTTCACTGCCAAATGTTCTCATTTTTCTCCGACGCGTCTTTCGGATCGCACCTGCATACGTGCGGCAAGTGGCTACGCGCGTAATTTGACGTTCCGCTCCACGTGCCACGCGCGGGGTAGGAGTCTCCGGTCCCAACTGTCTCTCACGTTGCTCGTTTATGTACCGCTCACCAAAAAAAAAGTCACGGCCGCTCCACTTTGATTTGTTGCAAAACCACCCTTGCTCGGACATCAGACGAACAAAATAAAAAAAATACGACAACAAACTCCAGGGGGCTTTAATAACAACCCTGTCACGCGCCGTATTGGGCATTAGGGCACAAACGGATGGCTTCCGCGGCTCCGCTAAAATCCTTGCGATGGCTCCACATAAAATCGAGGATGCAGTACACAATCACTATCCTGTGCCAACTTGCTTTCGTTCAGTGTCTCCCCATTAGCGCATTCCTCGCCCCCTTCTTCTCACTCCAAACTGGCCAGAGCAAAGAGCCACTTCCTACGGAACACTTCAACAAATCTGCTGATCGTCCCCAGAACCAAGACCGTTCTTGGCTGAGTTGAGTTTTTTCTGTAGCTGCACCAGTCGTCTGGAGCTCTCTCTCCACTGCACAACACGCAGCAGAATGCAAACCACATCCACATTTAAGCTGAAGTTCAAGGCCATCACCTGCTCGGGCTTTCACCTGTGCGGGCTATCACGTGTTCAAACCCTCACCTGTCCAGGCTGTCACCTTTTTTCGATTTAAAACTTTCGTGACTGCAGGGATTCATCTTCTTGGTTCTTTCGGTAAAGTCACGTAGAAGGGAAGTAATCAAAAAATAAAAATAAAACATAATAAAATAATTCTCACGACGTTTCTGCCACAACGCAAGCAGCCGTCCTCAGGTGAAGACCAGGTCTGTCGGGGAGACAGCGTCTGATTCTTGGTTCTTTCGGTAAAGTCACGTAGAAGGGAAGTAATAAAATAATAAAAATAAAACATAATAAAATAATTCTCACGACGTTTCGGCCACAACGCAAGCAGCCGTCCTCAGGTGAAGACCAGGTCTGTCGGGGAGACAGCGTCTGAATCAGACGCCGAAACGTCGTGAGAATTATTTTATTATGTTTTATTTTTATTATTTTATTACTTCCCTTCTACGTGACTTTACCGAAAGAACCAAGAAGAGGCTGTCACCTGTTCATGTTCTCATCTGTCCAGGCTGTTATCCGTTCAGGCCCTCACCTGTTCAGACCCTCACCCGTTCAGGCCCTCACCTGTTCAGACCCTCACCTGTTGATACTGACGTAGGATAGACTTTTGAGCTTTGCCTTCGTGCACGCGAGTTCTCGATCGATCATTGCGCCAGATACGAGATATATGGGCGTGTTAATGTTTGCATTTTTTATTGTTCTTTCGGAACTGAATGAAGCAGCCGAAGTATGAGCACCCATTGCTACACTACAGCCATTGCTACCCTATTGTTTTTTTCTTATAAAATTCTAAAGCTACCTTAGAGTATTGATATATATATACACACACACTGCAACAGTCCTTGAAGTGTTACACTGTTTATGCTCTAAACTAAGGTTGAAAGCTTAAAAGTATCGGCTCCATCCATCTGCCTGTCTGCAACATGGGGTCATAATAAAATCTCATAAAGATGGCCCATTATGAACACGACTCTAACTCAATGTTGTGTTGATAGTAGTGTCTTACTCTTTCGGGGGAAAAAACCGGCCACGTGGATCGAAGGCTTTTCTGCGTCCTTCCCGACACAGCCGCTATCCAAACCGCATTCGTTTCATCACAAGGCAAAGGATCTGCTTGCTTTCTGTGCACCAATTATATGCTTCCAAGGACAAATGCATATTGGAAAGCATCACATAATCCACGCGCATGCAATGCCTTTTCTTCATTTGCATTAAATATGTAAACTATTTCATTGTACGTTTCATGTGATTATTGTTATTGTTGATTTCATATCTCCCATTGGGCAACGTCCGGTAATTTGCAAATGCAGGTGATGTTGCTTCCCTTTGAAGCTGCAAAACTGCTCTAAAGGAGTTGTACACCCCGTAGCTGCCACTGCAATTTAGTGGCCAAAAATACAATGTTTCGCTCCGGATGATCGCTGCAAAGTATGCAAAGTATGCAAAGTATGATCTGTGTTTTGATTTAGTGCGCTGATCTTAAAGGTGCATTGAAAAATGTTGATACTCCGACTGGTGCTCCTGCTGTTGTGGAGTGACTCATGCAGCCAGCTATGGCTGCAGAGTTTGATAGTACATGGTGTTTACGTCATTTATTGTGAAAATTCGGTCACAGTTCCTATGACCACTGTTTCATTGCTTTTATGGCTTTATTTTGGTGATTTTCGAAAAGTTTTTTGGTTTGGCCATGTTTGTTTGTTGTAGTAGAGAGTTAGACTGATGGCCTTAATCTAAGTTGTCTTGTGGTTGTGGTTGTTGTTGTTTGACTTGCATCCCACTGGGATATTTGCACAGGGTTGGTGTACGGTGATTTTTTCTGCAATATTTTGCTGTCTTTTCTTGGATTTTCTGTTTGCACATAGTCACTTTAAGATGTTTTCTTGTTCATGTTTTTGTTTTTTGTTTGTTGCGGTTGCACCCGATTCAAGAGCCGAATGGCTCACAGGGCTATACCTAATAAATTAACTTTGAACTTTGAAGCGGTCCATTGTTTGTACAATTTGGTCCACGCGATCGGCGAAGGGCTATTCACGAATTCAACATAATAAAGTAAACTTTCATGATAGAAATAATATTTAAAGATCTGTATTGATATAACATATCATAGTACAAAATACTACTTGGCAATGGGTATAAAGTCAGATTTTATTCATCACAAATAATCCAAGGAAACTACGGCACTGGTTTTACATATTTTATTCAAGGATCATACGTAAATGAAGCTCAAGTATGCACACATGGAAACAAACAATCTCAATAACTCTATCCTTAAGGACCTTTGCACGCAGTTATGTTAGCGAGCACCTATTAAGGTCGCTGTAGAACGTGAGGGGACACGTGGCCAACACCACACATACCCGTCCACTTTTATCATTCAATCTTCTGACATTTACACAGCAGGTACCCCCATTTCAGAGCAAGTTAATATAGGGGAGCACCAGATCAGCTGAAGGCATGATTTACTCTGTCGTGCATCCTATTTTACCATGATTATAATGCAGTGTGCTAACCAACGTATCAACTAACAGAGTCCATTGGTCATTTCATAAACGGTCTCACCTTTAGCTTAAAAGAACCAGCTATTATGAAAATTGGCGGCCAGTTAAGAAAAAGAGCATTTGTTACTACAAGCAGTGATATTTAAACGATCAAGGCACCGCATGTTACTAGATTCATTAATGCTACGCGAAAATAACTCGGAAATATTTCAAATACAAATTTGACCTTTTTTTTAATTTGCATTCAAAAGAAATGACATTTGCTCTCACGTTTTATGAATGTTATCTCTGGCAGGCCATGTAAAATAATAATAATAATAATAAAATGAGCCACACTGGTGGAAATGTAGAACGGTCCATTGTCTACAAACACGAAAACATAAGGACACACTTTTTTATAGGACCTCGTCGTAAAAATAAAAAATATATATATATACACGACTATAATGGCACTTTTTACAGGTGTTGGCTTGTAATAGGTATTGGATTTTAACGAATTCCTCGATTAAGAGGGAATTGTTTCATGCACACTACAGCAGGTAAAATATTTGCAGTAAGCATCACAAACGCTGCAGAGAAATATCATTACTATGCTACACGGTTTAAGATGACGCAGATTGATATGCTGTACGATCCATTTTAGGATATTGTAAATATATAAAACTCTGCATGAATATCATGATTTATATGAGATTTGTCACCTTACAATGACTGATGTAAGCACGCTACGTTTTATCAGATAAGAGTGGTTCTTATTTGTTTTTATACCAACTTGTACAAATTGTATACATCTCATAAACACGAAACAAACCAATCTCAACACTAGAGGCATTAAGCTCATTTATCCACTTTATTTAAAGTGAAGCAGACATAAATGGGTGGATAAATCAAGTACCCAGCATGTTACTGAATTTAATAGAAGCACTGTGTATACAAATATATTATCCCTATGTTTATATATGAAAACAAACGATTTGTATATTTCAAAGAAACACATGCAGGACTCGAGCATTTAGACTGATGTGCTGACGTAGATTCATGATCATATCCCCATGTTATTTTGTATATTGCAGAGGGTCGTTGCTTGTGAATAATAATGTTCATCTTCTTGGTTCTTTCGGTAAAGTCACGTAGAAGGGAAGTAATAAAATAATTAAAATAAAACATAATAAAATAATTATTTTATTATGTAAAGTCACGTAGAAGGGAAGTAATAAAATAATAAAAAACATAATAAAATAATTATGTTATTACGTAATTATTTTATTATGTTTTATTTTTATTTTGTTATTACTTCCCTTCTACGTGACTTTACCGAAAGAACCAAGAAGATGAATCCCTGAGGTCACGAAAGCTTTAAATCGAAAAATAATAATGTTGTATAATTGGATCAGAACTTAAAAATAGATGAGATTTTTTTGGTTCCTAGGCACCAATGAATGTGAATTCAGACAATTAATTCAGCTGCCACGGTGACCCTGCTTGAGCCTGCAGGCCATGCAGCAGTTGAACTGCTTCCTGCTGTGCCTTCAAGACACTTCACTACATTTTCTTCTGGCTAAAAAATTCGAACTTTGACTGTCACCTGGCAAACATTACCCTAATACACAGAGTGGCGGGGAAATGTATGCCCTCTCCTGTGTGGATCACAAGGATCTCAAGGAATAGCTGTGACATGCGCTTCTGCAGCCCATTCTCTCACCTGAAGGGCTGCTAGAGATACGCATGGATTCTTGATCTCATGACATGACACCGAACTGGCACAATTGGGGTAAAATCACCGGCAACAAAACGATGCCGAAGCAACGTATCGCTTGATTGCAAGTGGCAAAATATGTGTATAATGGAAGGCGGTGAAAGCTTCTGGACGCCGAGGATGAAAACGATGACCCCTCTCAGACATCGTCTATGGCACGAGGAAATCTTCTCCGTGGAGGCCTCACAGAATAGGGGCGGAAGAGTGGACCCACCGCAGGCCACCTTGGTTGGTGGAAAGGATGAAACCAGCGTGGATGGAATTCCTGAGCCAAGTGGTGGAAAGGCATCCGGGCAGGAAACCTGGGCCGAGGGTCGTAGTATTCAAAGAAGGGTTGCTCAAACGGCGGTGGCTCCAAGGGCGGGAAGAGGCCAATTGGGAATGGAGGCGGACCTGGAGGGCACCTGGGAGGAGGGAAACCAAAACTGGGGGGGCTCTCCAGAACGTCGGGCGGCACATGTGAATGTGGTGGAGGCGTCGGAAGAAGAGCCTTCGTTTGTCCCAAAGCTTCTTCGGATGGCGGAGGCACGCGGGCATTCACCGGTGGCGATACGCCGCCACGGGTAGTGGCAACAGCGCAAATCTTTTCCATCGGCTCGCACTCAAATACTCTGCCCGCCTCTGTCGGTTCCTGCGCCGAGGGCAGCCGTGGTGCGCTCACACGTTTCTGAATCGCGTTCGACAAATGAGGCACATTTGGGGGCGTTGTAATCAGAGGGTTGGAATCGTTATTTGCTCTGCAACTTTGAACATCGGCACACCCTCTCACGGACAGACCTTCCGTGACATTCCGTGGCACCGTGTCGCCTTGACCGTCTTCCTTCACCGCTCCACGCACGGCCGCTGCGTGCCGCGCATCCGTCACCGGAACGTTAGGAAAAGCGCCAGGCCGGCGTGTGCGTGGGTCCCTCGGTGCCCTCGCCGTAGCGGCGTTCGGTGTCGAGACATCCGTCTGGCTCCGCGTGGGGTTAATCTCCGTCGAAGCAAGGCCGTGCCCTTTCTCCGACAAGGCTGCGGTGGAAAACAAGAGGCGGCGGTAGACCTGACCGCCCGGGTTGTTCGCCATCGGCACTGGCTCCCTTCGGACTTCCGCGCGTTTGTTCCCCTTTAACGGTTGCTTATTAATTATCTGGGATGCGTCTTGATTGTGTTGGATGACGGCAGAGTGCGGGAACACCTCACCGGGGACGCCGTTAGATTTAGCATCGACATTTTTGCCAGCGAGACCATTTTTTTGGTTTAATTTGAAATTTAAAATTGGTGTCTCGTTATTAAATTTTCCCGTTTGTTCTCTCCGAACGGGATTGCTTCCACGAGTCGATGTTTTCACCGAGTGGCCCCTTTGGGCATGTTCTTCTGAACCTAAGATTGAGCTGTTCTGTGGTCGATCTGACGCTGCGGCGGTGCCAGTCAGAGGCTGCTGCTGACTCAGCTGACAATGACCACGTGCGACTTTCTGCAGGTCTGCCGGCTCGCGTCCACCGCCGTGGTGCGTTGGTTCCGCGATCGGTGAAATTTTCCCAGTCGAGGCACATTCAGCTTTGGAATTGTTGTCCGAATTTTTGCGCGCAGCGCCGCCTTGATCGCATTGACTCTCTGGGCCGTTCTTTTCCGCCTTTGGATTCCTCGCGTCGGCGGAGTGAGAGGCCCCCGTGCACTTGAGGCAGGCGTTGGGAGGGTGCGCTCGCCTTTGAGCGTCGCACGTCTTCGTCGCTCGTTGTTCCGCGCGACAATCGGCAGGGCCCTCACGGATCTGCTCTTCGGCTTGCTGCCGTTTGACTTTCTGACGAACCAGCACGCCCACAATTGCCCCTGTCTCTGTGTTGTTCAGTCCTAAAAAAAAAAGAGTAAGACCGTTAGTGTAGTTAAAGAGCCTTCGGTTTGTATCAACTTATACGTGCAAGTTATTTTTTTTTCACAACAATTTAAAGAGCGCAGCCCCATTGAGCCACGTGCAAGTTGTATTGAACTTGCAAATGTCCTTGAGCACTCCATTGGAACATTAATCCTGAGTTCAGAAAAAATGTGTCTTGGGAATGTAACTATTTTAAAACAAATACAAACTATGAACAATACATATTATGTTTTACACAATTAAAATAGGGAACGGTAAAGGTGCAGCCCTGCAATTGCCTGCTCACGCCACTGTTGGCAGAAGGGCCTCGACCAGAGGGAGCTCTAGAGAGCCCCTCTAGAGGGTGTTTTTGCCTACTCTTCCATACTGGACAGAGCTCTCGGAAGAAGTGAGAGTCTCAACACTTTCACCCACCACACGTAACTACCAATTAATTGTGCTGTTGTCATTATTTTTGTCTGCGTGGAGAGAGAGAGGTGGTGAAATTTAAGAAACTTACTCAATATTTAACTGGCACACTGGGAGAATGAACTGGTGACCTCTGGGTCTCAAGTCCAGTGTGCTCACCACTAAACACCACGGCAGATTCATTCCGAGGGAGCAACCATGATATTAACTTAGAACGTAGGATTCTGTAATCAATATAGTTATCCATATTTATTTTTGGGTTAGACCAATCCAAAAACAACTACGGATCATCGTGTTCATTAGGAAATGAATAAAACCCACGTAGCATATGATTTCCTGTTCAAGGATAACAATCAGTGTGCCTGTGTGTTGGGGAAATGCATCAACAAACAGCGCTTCATATAACAATATAACAATAGGTTTTACCCTTTCTGGCAATAAAACAGGTGTCAAGATGTTAAAACACCAAACAGAATCTGTGTTAAAGGAATCCTGTCTGCATTAACCACACGCACTTGTGGTGAACATGCAAACTAAAAAACATGCTCTGATAATTACATATGCATTGTCTTTGAAACTGATTGGTCCACACCAGAGACAGCTTTCTTTTGAGCCTCGTCTCAAACGGTGTTAGACCAGAGGACGCCAATAAGCTCGAGACGAGCAGCTACAATATGGTGACCTTTCTTGCCAGTATCACAATCTAACAATACGTTTTACTAAATATAGCAAATAAAACCGGTGCAAAACAAGCGCCTCACCTGGGCCTAGCAGAGAGAGCAGACTGCTTGGGAATTTCTGTCCGGCTCCCGTCGGGATGATGTACAGGTCTTTCACCGAGTGTGAGTTGTTGGAAATTACGCCGTAACGCTTTCGGCCACTCAGGTACGAGAACACGGACTGGTACCCGTCGCGTTCCTCCACGGATGCCGGGACAAAGCGGATGATGCAGGCCTCCTTTAAAAAAAAAGACGTCAACAAAAAACCCAGTCGGAGCAACCATTTGGATTACATTTTTTTTACCTTATACGTGTCAAAATATGCTCGCATTTGTTACGCGAACGATCAGGTATGCAACAAATCACCAATCCCCCCCTCCCCCACCCTTCAACCCCCACCACCACCTTCCCCTCCCCAAAGCGATTCAGTGAATTGTCGCAATTAGCCGTCACGATTTGATTTAAGAATCAAAACGTTTCTTCTCTTACTCATACCACCGTAATTGTCTGGTGTGTTTCTTCGTGCATTCTGTCTGTGTCATTTGCATTGCGTGTCCCATTTGTCCTCTCTCGTACGCTCTGTCTTGTTTAGCTCTGCCTCGTGTGTAATGCACGCTTGCACTCTCTGTCTCATATATAATGGCTGTCCCATTGTTATTGTCGGTCTCATTGGTTTCTCGTTAGCCTACGAGTAGCATTATCATTGAATTTGCATACTTTGATTATTAAATGCACGTTCCAATGGATATATCTCGAGCGTACAAATCAATCTTATTTAATGAGTCAATATCTATGTATGTTGAACTTCTTTTAGCATCCGAACGTAGCCAACGTGCTGAACGTGTCCACTAATGAGAGATTGAATGCCATTTTGGTATTTGCAAGACGTGGAGAAGTTGCGCTGCTCTGTGAGAATTACGGAACTGATCCTTCACCTCATGGCATGACACCCAATTGCGTAATGGAAGACAGTGTGTAGAAACCAACAAGCCGGTCTTTTTTTCTGTGAAAGATCGCTCAACGTGTAAGAAGCATACGTTTGTGTGATTATATGAGTATGTGTGTATGTCCTCTGTTTGATCACAATACCTTTGAGGGAGTTGCTTTGAGCTTATAAAGATAATCCCAAACCACCTGCGGATGAATCCTCCCCCCAATTTGAATTGAATCCGGTAAATCCTGCAATAGATGCACATGATATCGCAGGATTTAAAAAATATATATACCGCTTGATATTATTTGCCGTCGAACAAACAAGCTTCCGTGCATTTTGAGCGAATATGACAACAATGCACTGTTACGTGAATAACCTTTGAAACACGGTGACGCATGTTTATGTGAACATTACAAACCTCAGTGAGATTGTCTGTAGGGCCGGACACAGGATAGGCCTTCATGACAACCTTGGCCACATTGGGAAGCCCAATAAACCCTTTCCAGATCTCTGCCAGCAAAGATGCAGCTTTCGCATCTTTACCTTTCTCCGGAGATCTGAAACGAAATTGCAAAAATCCATTTTACCGCGACTACTAATTCAAACCCCACATCAATGCTGAGTCATTTTGCCTTTTAAAATGACATTCATTGTACGCATTTAATGGTGGCTATTTTGAGTTCAATATGACACAAATGAGGTCCATTCAACACAAGGATACCTGATGTGTGCCAGCTGCTGTGTGTCGGTGACAGGAGATGAGATCCATTTCTCTTCACAATCAGATTCATTCAAAGGCTTGCAAGGCAACTCACTGACATGCACGTCGACCAAAGGCCCCTGCACAATCTCTGGCATAGCATCACACAAAGACTGGCTTCCTCTGATCTTTTGGATGAGCCCACAGCTTTCTTCCATCGGCCTGCGTGTCGGCTGCCCTCCTGTGGTGTCCTGCTGAAAACCCGGCGCGGACCCTCCGCTGCCGTGGGCGCACGTTGTTTCATCCCCATCGCGATTAACGCCGTTGTCGTCGTCGTCGTCATCGCCATCATCATTGACAATAACCTCGAGACTGTCATTAATGTCATCATTGTGCAACACTTCAGTGGGCGCTGGTGAAGACAAGGTGTGCGGAGATGCGCCGGAGACCCGAGGGGACTCGTTCGAATGTGCCGCAGCGCTCTCAGCCGCCTCGCCTCCGTGAGTGTCTCCGGCCTCTCCGTTCAGTGGTGGTCCTGCATCAGGCGTGGAGCTGTGCGTCATGTCAGCCGAAGCCGGAGGATGCTGGGATGCCCTCTCACCCAACTCTGCCTGTTGGGGGCTGGCGGCAGGCTGGGCCTTTTTTGAGGACGGTTCATCAGTGTCCTTCACTGCAGTTCCATGAAATGCAATTGACAAATAAAAAACACCAATCGTCAATGTGAAAGCATCAATGCTGAAGCCCAAAGCAAGCTGCATTTGTAGGTTATATGTGTTAGCTTAGTTAACTGATACAAATATTACAATAATTTCATGACTAAAAAAGTGGAAGGAAAAAGATTTTACACGTTTCATCCAGAACTCCATCTCCACTCATAACGTATTCACCACAAAATTATGGCAATGTGTATCCATGCTGTCAAAACATGTCAAAACTATTTGACAAATGATCCTTGCAAAACACCAATAGCTTTCTGTCAAATTAAACTGTACATACCTGTGAATGTCTGATGGCGATGATGATGATGAAGGTTGTCATGATGATGTTTAATTGGTGCCGAGTGTTAGTACTTCACTTGTTCCCGTACCTTTGCAGAATTTCCAGTTGTGATCAGACAATTGAGACGCGCCTTGCTTGGCTGCATCCAGAAGCGCAGGCCTTCTCTGAAGAAATGCTTTTCTCCCGCTCCTTTTATCTACTTCCCTCTCCATGGTAGAGTTCTGTGAATTTTAAAGGCAACGTGATTGATTTTTGTTATTTTTCTCGGCAATCCCTTCCTCTGCAATATTCTACAAAAGTTTTTGGGAAAGTTGTTGTTGTTGTTGTTGTTGTTTGTTTGTTTGTGATTGTTTCTGCCTTGATTTGGTCTGCCAGTAATTCCTTCTTATTGAAAAAGTAGTGGGGGCGTGGGGGGGGGTGCTGAGGGGTGGGCATTCTAGCACGATAACCCAAAGAAATGTCACAGGAGAGGCCTAACATTTCAAATCATCGACCTGAACTATTTTCAAATGAAATACCACATCACAAAAGCCACAAACGCAATTTGACTTCAATAGTCACTGTCCATTAGTACACAACAATCGTCCGATGGCTGTTTGTAAATAGTTTTGGCATGAGACTTTTAAAACGGCGATTCTTCACATCTAAAGTTAAACACCCTCTCGGCGAAACGGAATGAAAACGCTCATTTAATAATATCATATTCGGGGGTTCGATCCCGACACTAACGCCTCTATATTTGGTGTTTGCACGTTCTCCCAATAGTCGCGTGGATGTTTTTTCTCCGGGTCCTCCTGTTTTTCCCTGCACATTTAGAAACGTGCGTCAAGATTATTTTGATGATGTTGCTGCTCTACATTTCCAGGTGTCTTCTGAAAAATAAGTTAATAGTTCAGTGGGCTTTAACTGGCCCGATAGAAAGAGCGTGAATCGAACTCGGGTCGCCCGGTTCATAGCGCGGCGCGCTAACCACTACACTACAATGCGTTACGCTTCCACATGCGCGGGTCACATGACAGATGTGACGTCACAGCTCACTTGCCGTGCAAAAAATATATGCATTATTGAGCTCCCCCCCCAAAAAATATATATATAAAGTGTATTTTTAAAATGTGTGCATGGTGTACAGTCTGGAAAGTACCCACATGGCAAATGTCAAGTTTGTTGCATGTCGGGAAGTAGCTAAACATTTTGAAAAGACACACATAATCACCACTTTTCCTTTTATATATATGGAGATATTCTGATTTCATTCCGCAGAGGGAATACTCAGAATCTGTCGTGCGATATTTTACCTGCATGTCCACCAGAGAGGTGGCGTCACCAATCTCCACGAGTCCTTTGTGCGTGGTCTTTGTGATTGGCCTTTTCTCCATTTGCTGCTGCTCTCTCTCAATCAGTTCAATCGTCTAGGCATTACAAATATAAGTAATAAGAAGAAAGAAATCGTACATTAAAATATTGTACTTTTTGGTTCTTTCGGTAAAGTCACGTAGAAAGAAAATAAATTTAATAATAGAATACGACGTTTCGATTGCAACAAAAGCAATCGTCATCAGGTACGAATGAATTAGAAAAAAACCTAGTAAACTTAGAAATACAATGCAATACAACACAGAGAGTCGGCTAACATAAGTCAACATCCTACCTGGTTATATTACCAAAAAAAACATTACAAATCTCGTACGTTCACATTGCCTCGTTTTGTCGGCATGTGGCAATGCATTGCTTAATCGATTGAGAATGTTGATGGAATCATAACTGTAATAATTGATCAATTAAAATATATATAAATTATTAGTGAATTCTAAACTGTTACATTTATTCAAATAGCGCAAAGGCTACTTACAAACAATAAAGAACAAATAACATGCAATGCAATGGGGATGATAAAAACGAGACCAACATGTTTTTTTTCCCCCAGAATCAATCCACTACCCCAAATCATGACAATTGTTTGAATCTCTGGGGGGGGGGGGGGGTGTAGGAGGTGATGGTGGCTTGAATTATACGATGCATATTTGCTTGGCTTTGGGCTGGTGTGTGTGTGTAGAACGCTTGGCCGTCACATCCAGTAATCCTACACGCTTGTTTTCTCATGCATTGTATGAATACTTGCTTAGCATTTGGCCGATGTGTGTGTGTGTGGAGCTCCGAACCAGTGACCCGAGTTCAATTTTCGCTCACGGCAAATACCAGTGACGATTATTTAAACCGGTCCTGGGCCTCGCCTAGGTCGACTCAGCATCAAATGAGTACCTGGTGTGGTGTGTAAACATCGCTACTAGGGAGACAAAAGCGACTGGGCTTGGTGCTGGCCACCCACATCCCTCGTGTGCCATTCCGGCCTTCATAGGTGCACGTTAACAGCACTTGCCCCAACAGTCTGTTAAGGCTACATTGAGACCTTTGTCTTTGTAGAATGCATGCTAGTTGTGTCCCGTAATCCTCGGCCTGCTTGGCTTTGGGTCGGTGTGCGTCTGTGTGCATGTGTAGGAAGAGTGGCTGCTACATGTGTAACCGTACGTGCTTGTTTTCTCGTGCCCGCCACTCTGCCAGTTCCTGGGATGCCATTTGCTGGGGACTCATTCTCACCACAGTGTGTGGGCTCACTTCGCCGGCCAGCACCTGCCCGCAGAGCCCCTAAACAAACACGCAAAACACAACATATTTACAGATGACGGGCCCAGTTGATTCAACCGTCATACACGCTGAATGTGCTGTACATTGCTAGTATGTGTGATGACGCAGCAATTACAATACCTTGTTTTTTTGATCCTTCAAATTAAAACTCAAGGTTCTGTATTTTGTCTTGTATTTGCTTTCAGCATGGCCTAAGAAAGCGTACAACTCTTTCTCAATTTGAAGAGCAAGCCTGGCAACATCTTTCATATTCACTTTCTGTCCTCCCATCTCTTTAAACCTAGTTTGTTTGGAGATAAAAAAGCGGACTTTAATATACAATGCAGTTTATATTATAGATGAAAAAATAATCGAGGTCAGGCAATCAGTGTTCAGAAAATTATAGAGTCGGGCGCACAAGTACGCGGTCCCCGTGCATCGAAGATGGATAATCAGAGAACCTTGGCATGCCAATACATTACTGCCTTAATACTGAAAGATATATACAAAAAAAATAACAATGCAATAATGTCATTATTCAACTAGTTAAGTGCTCACTGATTTCAAGGCTCCTCTTTTAGAGGTTCTTGCATCGGGATATTTATCCATTTAATTTTTTTAGGAAAAGTTTTCTTCTGTTGGAGTAAATCAGGGTACCTGGATAAAACCAACACAAATGAGGGGGCAACTGGCCACCGCTCAGCTCAATGTGTTTTTGAGTTTCGCAGATTCGAATAATCACTCAACCCTTTGCCACCGACGCGCTTGATTACAGGCATGTGCCATCACAAACCCAGCTAAACATTGCCTCCAGTACAACTCGTGAATTCATAAATCCATGAAAGATCCATCAATACAATTTTAAACCAATAATTTTCACCCTTCTACGGGGAGCTGTCGTGCAGTGGTTAGTGCAGCGCGATATGAATCCAGAGACCTGACCTTGATTCCCACCCAAGGCTAACATCGGTGGCGAGGGATATCTGAACCAGTTAATGAGTCTTTGCCAACCCGCACAAGCCAGCGTGGTGAAGTATGGTCAAACAACTCCCACGTCTGATTCGGCGTGTAGCGGTAGATTCAGAAGGGGCTTCAAATTATTTGCAATTACTACATTTTAACTCCAGCGTGTGATGCTTACTCACAGTAATGTGCAGGGGAGCTCACCTTTTCAGCAATGTATCCCTGAAGGCCTTCCTTACTGTCTGACGAATTTGCCAGTCAACCGCTGCAACCTTGGCGACTTTCGCTGGGTTGCAGTGCTGCTGGGCCTCGCCCGCGATTTCATTTGAATTCTGATTTTTCATTTCCCTTTTATCCCTCGCCTCTCTGGGCGCCAAGCGGCGCTTCTTGCCGGACGCGAGCGACTGACGCTTGTCCGCCCTCTCTTCGCGCAGGATGTGCAGGGTGTCACGAAGGCGAGCTTCTTTGTTGTCGTTTGCTTCTAGGAAATTGAGGTTCAAGGCAGACGTGTTTTTAAATCCTTTATATTAAGTTCACTTGCTTGCTTGCTTGCGCGCTTACTTGCGCGTTTAAGACCGTGCAAATCTTTGGGTCGTTTTTTAACCCACTTCCCGTGATCCAATCGAGCTGACATTTTGCACACAGACTCGTTGTGCGTGACAATTTATTTTCGTGAAATTTTTTTTCCATAACTTTACACTTTTTAGGAAACATTTTTTTAAATTTAATTAACAATTGCTTAATGGTGGCAGGCAATCATCTGACCCATAGGTGGCAGCCATCTCAAGCCAGAGGACGAGAGGACTCTAGCCGCCACGCATATAAAGGATTTATAGTGAAAAACTTAGTTTTTACGGGTTAATTTTTTTAGAGTCCGTATTCACAACCTCATTTCTCGTCATTCACTTGTTTTATGCGGGCGCGATACGGCGTTAGTAGCGGGGTGAGCAGTTGATTTGTGCGCCCAAACGAGATTGGCATGAAGGTAAATTAGCGGCTCCCCTCCCTCCCCACCCCAGCACCACACATTTTCTGTGAGGGGGAAATGCAGCCTGCAAACATTTCTTTTGTCAACGATGCCAAACCAAAGCCACCCTCCCCCACCCCACTTATTGCACTGCCATATTTCACCCGGCTAGGGTCCACAATTCCAGTAATGACACTAGAAATCTCTCATGCTGTCTGTTTATTGTATATCATCATCGTATACCAAATCAGCAAGAAATATAACTCTGACTTTAAAACTATATATTTTTAAAAAACGCGCGCTATGCAACCAGTTATGTGTGATGCACTTTGGGACATTCTTTTATAGTGAAGCGCTATAAATTGAGAAGAAGAAGAATGAGAAGAATGAGCAGAAGAAGCAGTAGAAGAAGAAGAACAATAAATCATAACTATTAAAGTCGTTTGTGGTGTATTTTTATATCCTTTATATTGAGTTCACTTGCTTGCTTGCTTGCGCGCTTACGACCGTGCAAATATTTCGGTCGTTTTTTAACCCACTTCCCGTGATCCAATCGAGCTGACATTTTGCACACAGACTCGTTGTGCGTGACAATTTATTTTCGTGAAAATTTTTTCCCATAACTTTACACTTTTTAGGAATTTTTTTTTTATATTTAATTACCAATTGCTTAATGGTGGCAGGCAATCATCTAACCCATAGGTGGCAGCCATCTCAAGCCAGAGGACGAGAAGACTCTAGCCGCCACGCATATAGAGGATTTATAGTGAAACACTTTGGTTTTACGGGTTAAATTTTTTCCGACCACCACCACCACAATGCCTCTCTCCGTTTCCTACCGGGCTTGTAGAAGACGCCCGATGGGATGACCCCTCCCTCGTGAGTGGGCTGAGCCTTTCGATCACGAGTTGATCCCTCGTCCGTCTCAATATTTAAAGCCGCGCGCCTGGGCTCTAGTGGGATAATGCTTTCCCCTTTCTCACGTTCAACATCATCGGGGACAACGCTGCTCCTCTTTTTCACCTTATCATTTGCAACCTGAAAAAAATAATCATTTGTGTGTGTGTTGTTAAAAAGTGGTTGCGATATTTTATTTTTACTGCATCAAAACGTGTGTTCGTCCCGTCCCCCACCTCTTTAAAAAGTCATGAATAAAGAAAGGCGTTACAAAGCACTCGTATTTTAAAAGCAAAAAATAATAATCCGCGCAAACTTCTGTCAATTCAGCTGTGCCTCGGACACAAAACTGCACTTTGTTTACGGATGGTTGCACAAAACAAAGACATCACATCCCCCCCCCACTTCGAGGATATGTTTTTGTCTGTGAAGCACAGCTTTTATCTTCAGCACGCGGTGTGTGTGTGTGGCGCTTTTAATTAACGGCAAGTTTACAGCGGATATGCAGGGGACTGGGTTTTTTGTTGTTGCTGCAATGCCATAAGCTTGCGGGCTCGTCAATAGGACACCTCCAAATCCTTCAGTAAGTCCAGAGGATTGATGGAACCCACAAGGGGATCAGGGGGGGGTGGGGGTACCACCAGCTGAGAGTCCTGTATTTGTGGTGGTGGGGGGGGGGCACCACAGGCTGTGCACACCTCTACAAAGACAAAGAATCCCCCCCGCCGTGTAGCCTTGGCAGACTGTTGGGGCAAGTGCAGTTAGCGAGTAGCAACCTGTGAAGGTCGCACCTCTACCCCACCACCGTGACGCTCACGTAGCACACGCGGAACTCATGGGTTCGTTATTGGGAAAAAAAACCCATTCGACCAATTCTGTTATTTCCTCTGCGATTGCCGCTGTCGTGTTTCCGTCTTGTTAACAGTGCCGCTCGCGATGTTTTGTTGGAGGAAATCGTTCTCTGGGTCCTCCGGGTTTTCTCCTCCACATGGGGATCTATACATTTTCACACGATGAGCCATTTCATTGGGCGATCATTTGTGGCCAAGTCGCTTCTGACAAAGAGCGATATATGCCAGTAGGCCTTACCTGATAGAATAAAAAATTGTTTAAATATTTCCATAAACACAGGTAACCCTTGACTATCCGTGTGCTGCAATAACCATTGCTTCTGCTTGCGAAACCACAACATATATTTACTCGTGCAGTCGTATTGGTGATTAACTGCTCCTCACTCGTCGAGGGCAAGTCACTCAGTGCCAACATGCCCGCCCAAATATGTTGGCAAGCAAACAGATTGTATTATCTTCTTGGTTCTTTTGGTAAAGTCACGTAGAAGGGAAGTAATAAAATAATACAAATAAAACATAATCAAATAATTCTCACGACGTTTCGGCCACAACGCAAGCAGCCGTCCTCAGGTGAAACCAGGTCTGTCGAGGCGACAGCGTCTGAATGAAACAGCACACGTGCTTGGAGCATATATTAGTCGGGCAGCCGTAGCTCAAGTCTGTAATCCAGCACTGTGCCGACGAGGGTAGGTGGATCACCGGCACAGATGTTGTGAAACTCCCCCGCAAATTTCGATGTAAAGCTTTCGTGACTGCAGGGATTCATATTCTTGGTTCTTTCGGTTTTTACACCTGATGATGATTGCTTGTGTTGCAATCGAAACGTCGTGAGAATTGTATTGTTTTATTTGTATTATTTTATTATTTCCCTTCTACGTGCCTTTATCGAAAGAATATAAGCTCCCCGCAGTTATCGAGGAGGTGCCGCATACCCTGGCTTGCCAGGAGAAGACGGCATTAATGCAAGAACTTGAGTCATCTTTGTTAGATGATAGAGTGTTTGCCCCGTCACACATGCCGTGTTGTGTCCGGGTGCTGAAAATATTCTTAAAATGAAATCCCAACGCAAGACCCTCCGGAAAAAGAGTGCTAAGACTCGGCATGGTTTCCCTGAACGGATGGATAGCTAAACAATTCTATACCCTGATATTAACCCAAATAATATCATAACAACAAATACATACAGATGACACGTTCAACGTTGAAAGACAATAAAGTACAGTACACTTTTAAAGCATAATTTACATTTGTTTTGCATTGTCTGTGCGTTATAGTTTTTTTTTACCTGGGCCACACTTCCCCTTTATCCCCCCCTCCCCCCGGGATAACCCAAGATCATCGAGAAATCTGCAATCGAAGCCACGATTATGAACTCCAGCAGTGAAGGAGCCTCACCACGAAGGAGATGATTTCCTGCTTGACCGACACGACCGTCGTGGGCTTCCCGCCATTGGCGTGCATCTCTCGGCTCTTCTCCAGCCGCTGGATGGCATAGGCCGCGTGTTTCAAGATGCAGCGGTTGCTGCAGTAGATAGAGCCAGGCACAGGCGCGTGGATGCAGCCAAATCCCACGCAGCGCAGCCCTGATCCCATTGCCTGTTCACGGGGGACATCGAGTTTGAAGATAGAAAGAAGAAAGAATGAAGGATTGAAAATTCAACAAAATAAATACCCCTAATTTTCCATTCCAGATATGCTATTTTGTACAAAATGAATTATAAGAGTAGTTTCATTTGCAAGGAAATAAGATGATTTTTTTTCTAAATACCCTGCCTGCTCTTAAAGAAAAGGAACACGCAGTCATTTATTTTCCAGAGCGGAGAGGCGTCAAGGTTGGCTCTGTGTGCCCAGGTGTGAAAAATAAACTGATTAACTGTGAAGTTTTTCCATTTCACTTATGGTTTGTTCCATTAATTATCAACCTCCACCACACACACACTCCAGTCAACACCCCCCCCCCCCCCACTCAATCTGCCACTGTTAAATGAACAAATGTATTAAACACATTTTAGATTGTACAGTCTATTGCAATGCAGTACACTCACCACATGCACATGAAATTTCATTCGACACCGAATTGATAAATTTCTCCACACTATGTTTTCAATTTTTTTAAATCACAATTGCTAAGCAAAGACCAAAAGCCCAAATTGTTAAAACTGCCAGCAACAAACAACACTGTCGAAATAGCAATAGAGGAGAGTTACTACGTTTCTTGAATTCAGCAAGGTCATAATAACGTGAGAAAAGAAACGATGTGAGGGAATTCAAAATGCAAGCAGTGCAGAGGACGAAGCAGAAAGAGCAGTGTTTTGACCTGCAATGTGATGGTTGACAAGAGAGTATGAATGAGATGAAACGCTTTGGTTGACCGAGTTTTTTACATGGGATTTAAGAATCAATTCGTGAAGTTCATGGGAGCAGACGCCATAGCAGTAGAGATAGGAGAGTGATGAAATGTCCGAATAGCTAACCATTGTGCTGCTTCCAGCCTTCGTTGTATCTTCAGTTTGACCACGGCCTGCATTCCCAGTGGCCACTAGTAACCTGTTATCATCCTCGTCCATCGTTGTGTGGTCCGTAATCTTCGTTCCCGTTAACGTGCACTGGGATGTATTCTCGGACTTGTCATGGACCTGGCAAGAATATTCTTTTCTGCCAGTTCTGTCAGAGCAGAGCTCCTGGGTCCCGTCTGGTTGTACTGATTCATGAGTCATCTCTTCCTGCTGACATGCAACTTGTTTGCCAAATTCACCGGTACGCATCAAATGACGGTCACCCAAAGGGTGGCAAGTTCGAACCGGGCTGCCTTGCGAAGTTGTGTCGTTATTGCCCTTCTGGCACGGCTCTTCTTCTAGTGAGAGTGGCAATTCCTTTGATTTTTCAGCCGATGGCCTCTGATTTTCTATACACGGAATATCACCGTTCTGCTTCTCATTTGGTGACTTTGTACTCTGCTGTCGACGATCTCGGAAACTCAATTCTGGAACAAATTCTTGATGGACACCGCATGTGGACAAGAGATTGCCACATTCTTGCCCCGTTTCTACCGCAGAAGCGTGACCGCCTTGTCCGTCCAAAGAAGTGTCTGGGGAGGCTGTACCCATAGAGGTCCTTGGAGACTGGTCGCGTGACATCGTTGTCCATTCTGATTCATGGTCAAATCTGTCATATTGGGGGCTTACTGTTCCATTCTGCTGGCTGTCATTCTGAGTGTCAAACTGACTTTTATGAGGCTGCGTCACTGCAATGTTTTGCCCGTTACCGTGACTTGAAGCGCTCCAGGCATAGTGGGGGAAATGTTGATAGTTTTTACTCATTCTTTCCTGGTCACCTACATTGGTCTCATTGTTTTCTGCTGTAATACAAATGCACACACGGATTTATGTAAAGCATACTACAGCTGTGCGTATATGTGTGGCTTCACAATTTTTATTTGTAGTATTTACAGAAATAATTTTAACGGGCATTGCAACACGAAATACCAACCGGAGGTCAATTCACTTAAACAGCAACAATACCATACCATCAAATCATTATTTCGGCAGCCTCACACTTTCAAAAGACCATTTATTACCTGTGGCATGACTAACAAAGCGTGGCATTTGCATTACGTGATGAACCGTTTAATTACAGCCACCGCGCTGACAATAGCATGATGCTTTTGTGCATGTGATTTGCGACTGCGCATTGACTCACTGTGGAGTTGTAAATACGACTGCTTTCTCTGCTCGTGCTTGCTGGACGGAGGAGGCAGCTGTACACTCCCGTGCGACATTTTAATGTTAGACCCAGCGCAGGGATATGGCTCCTGTGAAGTGCAGTCCTTTGAAACGCTTCCATTTACCGCATTTCCATAATCCAAATTAGACAGGGCTTCTAAAGGACACATTGCACAAAACACAAAACAATGCTTCGCAAAAACTGATGATACATCGTGAAATTATTCGCCGGATTCATTATTTTAAACCCAGTGACCTCGCCAAAGAAGGTCAAGTATGTAGAAAAGATTTCGAACTCTGCCGCACCAAAAAAATTATTGCAAAATTGTATGGTTGAATAACACATCACGACATTTAGTTTCCAGATATGTCTACCAAACAAAGAGTGCTAACAACCTTACAGGGGTGACTCACCTGCATTGCCCATGAGGTATGGATCATTTAGACCATCAGGAAGCGTTGTTCTGAAAGGCGTGCTGGGATAAGCAAACATGGGCTCTGCTTCCGTGAGCAGACCTGTGAATGGCCCTTTGACCTGGCAAGGCAGAGAATCCTGGCTTTGCTGGAATGAGCCCCCAGACACAGGGTGCTGTTGGCGAGTGTTGTTGAGGAAAGACTGCAATTGGAAACGTCCGGGAAAGAGAGAGAGAGAGAAAAAAAACTAGGTCAAACATTCACAAGCGTATATGGTACATTTTGCAAAAACGGAACGGACTGCCAGCGTTATCACTGAGCCCAAAGAAGATGTTTCAATCGATTCCTGTCGATGCTTATTGATTAAAATGCAGCTGGTTTTATCTAAGTTTACAATAACTGCAATTCCAACTGGATTTGTTTTCTCGCAGCCTGGGGTTCGTTTCTAATGTTTATGTTTTGAAAACGCGTTTTAAAGCACGTTCACATTTTAAGAGGGGCATGACTGATTTGAAGCTTTGCAAACATTTCTCACAGGTAGTAATTAATCTTGGTCCTAATTATCTCGGATTGGGACATACACCTCCGCTCAATTACCCAATTATGAATGCACACTATGGATTTGTTTTAAGTAATCACATTTTTTAGAATATATTTTCAACGGAGGCATAATTAAAATAATAAAAATGTATAATTCAAATCTGAAATAAGTATGCTTAAAATTAGACAAAAATAAATATTTTAAAGCTGATACATTTACATTTCAAGCAACATGTGTCCAGACCGCTCACTTCCTGCAACTATTTCTATTAATCTGGGTTTAAACTCAGAGATGTGTATTTCTGTCAAGCACATTAATGACGATTAATTAACACTTGGATAACATCTAATTACATGCATTTTTCAACACAACCATTTCGCATTTTTAATGTTAAACATTAAATATTTGAAAAATTATCCACTTACGGGACTATTACACTAAAGTGAATCATTCATATTTTTGTAGGCAATTAGTGTTATGTTATTGCAAATTAAATCTGCCTTTATAACCAATTCAATTGACTCGCTTCTGAATTTTCAATTGTGACTTCACGATCAACCCTCTAACATTTGGCAGCACACACAGCACACGCACGGCCGCTATCTCATTGTCTGGGCGACGCGATGGCAAGATGTTAACTACCTCGCCTGGTATACAGAAGGGTGTGGGTTCGATCCTGATCCCGATCTTGAAGTCTGTATATTTGGAGTTTGCGTGTCTCTCTCCCCATGTTCGTGTGGATTTTTCTCCGGGTCCTCCGGTTTTTCCCTCCACATTTAGAAACACGCTTTTAGAGTATTTGCCTGATATAAATATCCACGTGATAAGCCACTTCGTATAGCTTTCATTTGTGGCCAGGTCGCTTCTAAAAAAGAGCTATATAGCTCTGTGGGCCTTACCTGGTAAAATAAAAAATAGTGTATTTTTTAGTTTAGTCTGACTCCCCTTTTAAGTAAAGGAAAAAGCTGCAGCCTCTAACATGTCTTGCTTTCTACCACTGCTGGCGGAAGACTCTCCACAAGAGAGAGCTCGAGAGAGAGTACAGGCTTCTCGAGATATGCTCTCTGAGGTGTGTTGGGTGTTGTTGCCCTATGTTCTTCTTTCACCGTTTGGCGCACATCTTGGAAGAGGTGGGAACATCCCACACTTTACGCCTCCACACGCGATATGTTTGCTAATCGACTAACTGTGGACGATCGATGAATACTACTGGGTGGACAGAGGCGAGGAAATTAAAAATAAATGTTCCCATGGTTCAAACTGCCGCGCCGAAAGACCATCACACCAGAAACCATCACACCGCGGCAGCATCCTCCGCCTGTTAGTGCGCGCGTGTCGAATTAGTATGCATGTGTGCAATGTGCATTCCCGTCAACGTTTCATTTTCATTCATTAGGTATAGCCATGTGACCCATGCGGCTCTTGACTCGGGTACAACCGCAACAAACAAAAACATGAACAACAGAAAAATCTAGAAAAAAACAGCAAAAACTTCCAGAAAAAAAACACCGTACATCAACGCTGCGTGCAAAAATCCCAGTGGGATGCAAGTCAAACAATAACAACCATAACGTGTGGCAGACCTCTTCGAAGCTTGACATCTCGGGATGACCGAGCGGTGGGAGGTCCCAGGTGTAATCGGCCACCCCTGGTGGTCCCCCGGGTGGTCGTGGTGAGGTGGGGTCCCGGCTGGACATGTGGCCCATCCCAGCAGCTAGCAGGCTCAGCTCACTGGCCATGATGGTTGCCGCTGGATACACAGGGCAAAGGATCAGTACTTAATTTGAAGCTTTCGTGACTGCAGGAATTGCTCTTTGGTTTTTTCGGTAAAGTCACGTATGAAGAAAAAATAATAAATTAATATTCTTAGGTTTGTTTCGGTAAAGTCACGTAGGTAAAAACATTAAAAAGTAAAATAAAATAAAAAATAAAAAATCACGACGTTTCGGAGGCAACACAAGCTTCCGTCTGCAGGTGGTACCGTCACAGCCACGACAGCTGTATCAAGTAAATGAGAGATTGCAGGAGCTACCACTCCGTTTATATATAATGGTTAAATTAAATACTAGCATACGACGTTTCGATTGCAACACAAGCAATCATCATCAGGTATAAATGAAATAGAAACACAAATCTAGTATACTTAGAAATGTAATGTAATACAACAGAGAGTCGGATAACATAACAGTCAACACCCTACCTGGTTGATTATGTTCTTCCTGAGAAGAACATAATCAACACCTGATCTATTATTTGTTTCTACCTACGTGACTTTACCAAAAGAACCAAAGAGTATGGATTCCTGCAGTCACGAAAGCTTCAAATCAAGACTCAAACGTTTATTTTACATTTTTTCCTGAGACAAAAAGTTCAAGTGGTGGAATCTCAATTTCGTAGCTTTCGTGACTGCAGGAATTATTCTTTTGGTTCTTTCGGTAAAGTCACGTATAAAGATAAAATAATAAATTAAATAATTGCATACTACGACGTTTCGATTGTGCTGATACGTGTTCTCTCTCTCTCTCTCTGTGTCTTTGTGATGTCTGTCTGCTTGTATGTCTGTCTATAGTTTTCTGGTTAGATTTTTGTTGCTATTTCTTTTATACCTGATGATGATTGCTTGTGTTGCAATCGAAACGTCGTAAAGTCACGTAGAAGGGAAGTAATAAAATAATAAAAATAAAACATAATACAATAAAATAATTCTCACGACGTAGTTTATACTTTAGTTTTCTACGTGTCGTTGAGTAACTGCAGCTACATATCATTAACATTCCTTTCCTTTGTTACTGCTAATCCCTGCACCCCCCCTTGGTGCTGCTGATCCTGCATAATGCATGGGCATAATATGACTTTGAAACCCCCCCGCCCACCTCCTACGCATTTTCCATTAATATGCTAAATTCCTCTTCATATGTACATTCTTTTGTTAAGGCGCTCTTCTTCCACCTCCAACGCAGCTTATATATAAGCTCCTAGCTTGGCATTGTTTCATTCTTCACCTGAAGACGGCTGCTTGCGTTGTAGCCGAAACGTCGTGAGAATTATTTTATTTTATTATGTTTTATTTTTATTCTTTTATTACTTCCCTTCTACGTGACTTTACCGAAAGAACCAAGAAGATGAATCCCTGCAGTCACGAAAGCTTTAAATCGAACGTCGTAGTATGCTATTATTTAATTTATTATTTTATCTTTATACGTGACTTTACCGAAAGAACCAAAATAATAATTCAAGTGGTGGACTTCTCTTTTTCAGCCACACGAGGGCAGCATTCGCCACGGAATAGGTGACGAGGCTTCAGTGATGGATAACACTGGTCAACACACTTTTCTGGCATAAGGTATTTCAACGCTTTTAAGGTAATTTTGGGGTGTTGATTCCAAATCTGGTTTTTTGTCTATCACATCAGGTTTTTGAGGTATCAAATATTGCATTTTCAATAAAAACTGCAGAAGAAAAATATTAAATAAATGTGAATATCTACATAAAATGATATTATAAACACACTATCCTAAAAATACAGCACCATATTTTAACACTAAAGCAGTCACTGACTCGCAACAACTTGCAATCATAAGTGACAGAGTTAATTTCGGGTAAAATCAATGAAAATGGGGTATACCGATAGCATAAAATGAGATGTGATAGAGCAAATCTGAGATGAGATTTGGAATCAGCACCCTGAAATTAGTCTAAAACAGCTGCAAAAGTCCAGACCAGAAAAAAAAGTTTTTTTTGTTGACCAGTGTAATTGAACGGCGTGTATTGACTAGGATTGCCTCCATATGGGAATTGAAAGAAAAATCCAAGATAAACATAACGTCCGTTTCGCAAATAATAGTCATGTGATGATTGATTTTGACATGCACGATGTGATGCATGTATTGTGAACGGACGAATCGATTGTAATGATTAATGATTGCATCGGTACATGCTGAGTCATGACAAATATGGATATGTAAACCAGACATTTGTCAAGGTTTTACAGCACAATGTGAACTATTATTAATATTCATGCACAGTCGGAAAGTACCTGCCACAAATCATATCAATAAATACAAATGTAGTTGCTTAGCCTAATGCTTTGTTAACATCTACTCTTCACCAAACCTTATCTAGTAGACTTTTTCAACCCACATCATTACTTGCAATCGGTTAAATTTCGTTAGCATGTTTCATCGCATGTCTATTTGAATGTTTGTATTTGCATCATCAGAAGCCGACGTTTTAAAAGTAAGTATTTACACGTGATTTGAAAAGTTTGTCTTGGCTCCAGTCACCTTTGAAAAGCAAGAAGCTACAATCTACTTAAACGACTTGATCCATTGACTAATTAGACTGGTGACAAAGACAAAGACCCCCCAGCCTATTACCAGCCTGTTGGGGCAAGTGCTGTGATCGAGTAGCACCTGGATGAAGAACGGACCGGCGCACGAGGTGTGTAGCCAACACACCGCACCAGATACAAATTTGAGGCTGAGTCAACCTAGGAGCCCGCCCGTGACCGGTTCGTATAATCGTCGCCGGTGTTGGCCGTGAGCGTGAATAGAACTCGGATGGCCGGTTTCGTTACCACGTTGCATCGCGATTACCTGCCAAGGAAAGAGAGGCTTCCTCCTCCAACGACGCCACGTTGACTCCGCTGCAGCAGCCGTGCCTCCTTTTAAATGCCCAGAAGCATGCGGCCACTGCCTCAATGCCAGCCACTCTTCCAAACCGAACCCCGCGGCTGGAAAGCGATTGAGGTTTTGGTTATATTTTCCCGCCATCAGCAACCTTATCGCTTGTCATCGATATGGGCTGCCTTCAATCTTGACTGCGACCAATCTACGATGTCCATCTTATAAACAAGGACCTCGCGTTTTCTTAAGTATCACTAAAGAGCTCAGTTGGATGGATTCAGACAATGTAAAACTCTATCTCTTAAGGTGCACATGATAAATATACGTACACGAAATATAGCACAATAAATGATTATCCTGTATTTTAGCTTGGTTTATATACCCTTATGTGCTTAAACGTCATCATTTTAGCTCTAAATGTAATTTTTGCACTAGAACAAAAATCCCTGCAAGCCTTTAACAGACTTGTCAAGTATGCACACACATGCATAGAGAACACTTTATGGAAACGTAATTGTTTCGTGTACCTCGCCGAGTCAGAATGTTTTGGCAAGTTGAAAGACGTAATTAATCCATTCTCATTTTAAATCCCTCATGACAAATAGTATTCAAGCTTCACAACACTCAAAATAGCAAAACAAAGTAACGCATTTATTACTCAGACAATTATTGTAAAAAAAATACACTCCCATATGGATATTCGTAAATTGTTAATGAACGTACGCAAATACTTTTGCATTCCATTTACCCCACAAGCTCGACTGGCACGTGACCTCACAGCCACAAGGTTGCCATTACGTTTTAACAATAAGTCTTCAACACGGACATCTGCAAAGCTTGTATAAGATAATTATACACTGCACCTGCATATGTTAAAACGAATACGTTTTTTTTTTAAGTTCCATCTTCAGTGCACGTGTAGATTTTGTTTCCAGAGCTTAACCACCAAATCTTAATCTCTCAGGGTTGGCTTGGTTGCAAGGCCACACTGTGGAGATGGCATGATAACGAGATGACCACAACCCCAGCTTTGGAAGGTAAGCAATCTTTCTGGCTTAACTTTTGCCGCGTTTTTTTGTTGTTAAATGCTCCAATTATCAATCTGGACAAAATGCATGTTTATGGAGATAAACATTTAGAAAGAATTCAGCGGCAAGGACATGAATGAAAACCAAAACGTGGAATAACATTACAGCCGATGATACATAGTTTATTCCATAATTATTACACATTCACACCAGCAAATCTTACTTAATACTCGCTAGACATCAAGTCAATTTATTGGGGGATGTCTAAAAGCCATTTATCCTACAAGTAATTTATCATTGGCTCGCAATTACTACAGCAGGTCAATCTGTTCACGCTACTCAATGTGGAACCCTGCGGAAAACAACAATGCATTCAGAAGACAATTTCAGCACCAAACGTAAAGCAAATTGCTTTTACAGTATTTTATTCAGGCTTGAAACTTCACTTATTTTTTATTAAATATTGCCAAATACAACAAATTCACTACAGCTGCTCACTTAAACAACATTGCACTTCTAAACATGAAATCTACAATTGCCAATAAGCATGCAATAACAACCATCAACCAAATGTTGCTTACAACAGTAATTAGTAAGTAAAATTGTAATTTTAGTTGAACTCGTATAATTTGTACTCTGTGTTAGTGTAACATTTGGTTGCCAATTGGGAATCAAGTGTACAAAATCCAAAGTAGGTGAATTCCAAAAATACGTCTTAAATTGTATAGCAAAAATGCTTTAATTTCAGTGTACACAAGCCAGGTTTAATGACAATTTTAGGTTAAAGATCAGATGATTGACCTGTCATATCTGCTACAGGCAAAAAATTGTCCAACATTTTTGAAAGAAAAAAAACATGTTTTCCTAACCAATATTAACAGAAATCATCATAAAGCTTATATCAATGAAACACTCTTGTGCCCGATGTGTGAAAAGTGCAGCTGTTCTGCAAAATAGATTTTATTACATATTTACCACTTTAAATAAACGTTTTGGAAGAAGCAGGAGTTGTGCAAAAAAATGTTTACACAAATATATCAATTATGGCAGCAGGTACAAATAATAACTAGTGATTTAAAGTGATAGGTAATGGACGGAAGGCCAGAAAAGTGCTATATTTTAATGTTTGCCCATAAAAATTACACGCACACATAAGTTATAAAGTGAAATTTGTTTCTGAAAAATGGCAATGACCAAGTTTAGGCAACATGGAACTGTAGAAAGTTAGAAAAAAATATAAAGACCTTACAGCATTGTAAATTATACCTGGTAAATAACATTATTCAAATTGTCATTGTATATGTAATCCTTGGGGTCAATTTGCTTCTTGATTTCAAAGTTTAAATAGAACGATAAACAACCAACAAACACTTCAAAGCCCTACTTTCACTACAATGCCCCTAATCCCCAGGACGTGTTTTTAAACACATCCCAATAAAAATTACTCATGCTCCAATAAGTAACCAGCCAGGCACGTTGTACACAACATCGAACCACACATCAATCTGAATGGCCAACAGTGAATTATAGCAAAGCTTGTGGCTTGGCAAGTCTGTTAAGGTAGAAAGGAAGGTACAAAAAATATAATTAACCAAAGTCTCCATGCCAGGGCAGGCCAATATCATCTCTTCTAAGAAACAGTATTACCAGCAAAATGTTAATATTTGGGTTAGACTAGGCATGGCAACTTTGGTTAAGCAAGAGGTGGACATCAAGTAACTTCCACTCTAGCCACTCCACTTTACACAACAATACCAGGCTGTGGCATTTTTGATATGCAGATAATGCTGATGATTTAGAGGGCATACCGTTACTGCAATGTCTCTGAGCAAGCAACTCGCCCACTTAAAGATGCATTACAATTTACAAAACTGGCATTTACTAACTTCACATTATGTGCCAACTGTTACACCACCTGTTTGTAATGTACAAATATAATTTGACAAGTTTACATCCGAAGCAACTAAAGCCAAATAGTATCCCTTAGTCAAGCCACCAACATGTGCAAATGTCAATGTGAAGTATGATGTTACACATACACATTTGTGAATAAGCACTTAAATTTAACCGAAAGACCCAAAGAATATTTAAATTGAACACTAACGCCACGGTCCTAGTACTGTCTTACTAATGCAAAGTAAACATTCCTGTAAAACGCAAATGTTCATAGTTTTATTACACTACAAAATGTGTACAGAGATGGAATCATAAACCCCTTCTTGGACAACCTTCTTCTGACATCCTGTATGCAACAGGCTGAGGTATGACTTATGGGTGATGATGCATGGCAACTGACTACAATGATGATGGCAATGACCATGCTTTAATTAAGCGAATCTATTGAATGCAGCAGTTACTCTTTTGTCCATTTGTATCCTTAAATCGAAGACGCATCTTAGAACGATACTTCTCCAGGTACAGAAGCTGCTTGCTGTTGATGGCTCCTCGACGCTTCCTGTAATTGACAAAATTTAAAGGGGGAGGGGCGTAGGGGACTTGCTCATTACCGATGCAAAATTAGTACAGCAATGTTGTTAGCAATGCTTGGCGATATTTAATTGTGCGTGCGATCATGGCCATGCCGGTTAATGTATGGTGTTCAGATAAATTATTGCATTCAAGTCGAATGTGATAATATACGTACTGCCTAATGAAATGGACAGCGTCTTCATACTTCATGCCACACTCAATCAGAGCCAAAGCCACCAAGACCGGTGCCCTAGAAACACAACGGTTCATTATTAACACAACACAATTGTTGTCTAGAAGGACGTCAATTTCAGCACAAAGATTGTTTCTACTTATTTTATATTCGCCTTCACATGTTAGATGGTTTACTGTTTACCTGAACCATTTACCAAGCCACTGTTATCTGCAAGCAGGTGACGATTCGGCGTTTCTCAATACAAATGGACTTCACCTGCCAAGTCCAGAGACACAGTGCACAGCGATGCAACACCCCGGCTCCTCTCTGAACTTGACCTTGAGAAGGTTAATCCAATCATCGACCACTTTGCCGGGAGGAGGTGCTCCATCGTCAAAGGCCCAATCCTGCACGAAACACAGGAAGGATATCTCAAACAAAACAATTCACGTAAAGGGGTTACAGAGTTTTAAAGCTCACGATACAGTAAATAAGCTTGTTCTATAACTCGTATTTGTTGTCAGCAGTACTTTCTCAACCACATAATTGCACCTTGCAGCATGCATAATGCATTACAGCCGGTTCGTCACTCCGCTACTGGATGAGCGACTGCCAATGTGGTGGAGTCCTTGAGGGTTAATTGGCAATATGCCACGATGGTCAGTGGATGTTGGAGATCGGGGGGTGTAGAGCGGCAATGTATGTTGCTTCAATGACCTCTACGGTCCACAAAACCTACTAGACGAGTTTTTGGATGCATGGAGGTCACCCATCCAAGCACTATTCTGACTCATCTCTTCTTAGCTTCCCGACCCTGATGCCTGCTGTACATTTGGAGTTTGAGTGTCTTTCTCTCCATGGTTGGGTGGATTTTTCTCCAGGGTCCTCTGGTTTTTTCCTCCACATTTAGAAACATCTGTTAAGAGGATATGGCTGCTATAAATTTCCACACAAGCCACTTTGTTCAGCTATCATTTGTCCAGATAACTTCTGAAAAAGAGCCACACAGCTCAGTGAGCCTTACCTGGTAAAATGAAACGTTGTTTAGCTTAGATCAGATGGATTCTGGGTGATTTTATCACACGCAATGCATGGTAATAAGTTAAAATAACGTGGAAAAGCAAGCAGTCCTTTATACATTCCAAACAGGTCAATTTGAAATACTAAATAACTAAATTTGTGCCCAAATGATTTGCACGTGTACATTTTCACTTTTTAATCTGATTATATAAACACTGGTACAGTGAGACCACCTGCAGGGCAAGGAATTCGTTCAGTGCAGTGAAAGTTCAGGCCAGAAAACCTTGCGTACAACAAACCTATTGAGTTACATTTAGACCATATCTTGGCATGATTAACACTGAAATTGAGGAGCTTAACTTCAAGCAGCTGCACTTGGAAAAATAGTAAAATCAGTGCTGGTGGCGTCTGTGTGTGGGTGTGAATGAATCAGCTAGCCATAAGTGTTTAAAAAAAAAAATACCAACAGTAAAGAATCCAGATTTTTTTTTAAGTTCTACACCATACATCGGTTAGCCAAGGAATTTTTAGGGATGATAAATGCACTAATTTAAATAATGCATGCTGATGCGCTTTGTAGCAACCAGTATTTGGCAGCTAAAGTAGCCAAAAATAATGCACCATTAAGCAGACAAATCAGCTTAACAGTGTGTGTACAGTGGTTAGAAAACAATGCAGGAATTAAAAGCCTTAGAAAGAAAATGCATGTTAATCAACATTTTGGATGGGATTTTCTTTGTGCTGCCAGCCTTAAAAACAACACACACACAAAAGCAATCAGAAACTGGATAAGGCTGTACAGTGCTGCATTGATATATTCGACATTTCATTTCTGGGCTGTAACCTACCACAAGCAAAATCCTTTCGCAAATGTTATGAAATGAGCGTCCAGAATCGTAACATCAACACACTCAGAATGTCCACTGCAAGGCTTTAATATTTCATAATTTTGCAGAAAACTTCACGAAACACAAAACGAGAAAAATGTTTCATCTCTTCAACTTTTACTTACTTACTTACCAGTACAGCGATTCCTTCTTTTTCAACAGGCACCTTGTCATAAGTAGCTTCGCAGACTCTGACTACAGTGGTCACACCACATTTTTTAAGCTCCTGAAAACACAAAGGAAAATCAATAACACAAACAGGGTGCTTCTCTCCTGCACCGTTACACGCCTCCCCCAAAGGTAAAGAGGCTGCTCCAACTACTCATTAAATAACACATTTCTCGCAAGCGCTTACTCATTTTTTGACAGCTGCCAACCCTTATTCTGACCGATAAAATATGTATGGATAGTGTTGAAGTCCTTCAGTGAGAGCGCAAGAAACTTACTTCGATGAATTTATCGAGGGTGACGTTGGTGGGGTTGTGGGTGATGAGAAATCGCATGTTCTTGTAGGTGACTTCCACCGCTGCAGGCCGGTTGAGGCGTGCCATTGCTGTATCTTTTCCTATGTTACACAATATCCAAATGTGGCTCTTGGCTAACACCTTAGGTCTAAAAAATAAAAATCTGATGACCCACAGACAAATTGCAACCAACACTCCCACCTGTGCTCTTATGGGTGTAAACAAATACAAAACAGCACCCTATCACGACACTACCCCATTCGGCCAAAATTATTGCACCAGTGATGGCTTTGAGCCGGTCAGAGGCAGCAGGGAGGGAGCACCCAACACTGGCTGCCAGCTGCACGGTTTAAGCCAGCACGGTTGCAGCGACACGAAAGTGGGAGAAATTATCAGTTCACTTGTCTGCAAAGACCTCGTGCTGAGCCTGGCAATACTCGCCACGTCCCTTCACAAACTCCATAAATGTGCGACCAAGAACACCGCAGAATTGCTGTAAGAAAAAAGGAAAAACGAAGCATGAAGACAACGATTTCATACCAATTAATTTGACAGAAATATAAAGCACTAGTATGTAACAGCAAGTCACATTAAATACATTTTTTACAAGATTTCTCAAACCCCCACAAAAAAGAAAGCAATTATGCACAAGTGTCATTTGGAAGTATACGAGCACTTTCTATATAAAACAATGTTGGTAAGGAACAGTGATGAACATGTAGACTATCACATGATTATGTTCTCAAGACACAGCATATCTGATGTTGGCACTGTGTCTTCATAGTTATGTTCCAGATAGTAATTAATCGTTTCAAGTCTATACTTATACTCAAAATATAGTCTTAAACCATGTGCGCGAATCATTTTTAAATTATATATCGCAATTGTCTCACGTAAACCCTGCAACGACTTCAGATTCTACATTCATGATAATGGACACTAATATAAAATTGTGATCATTATTCAAATCGTGGAGGGAGAATCGTAACGTGTCAAGATGTGAATACACGGCAGCCATTGAAGTGTGACTTAGTAGAACAGAGATGGAGGCTACTGTGCTTTGTTAGCACAGGAAATAAGGGGTGCCAATCTGCTTGTAGCACAGGAGGACAATGGGTGCCATATTCTTAGGTTTATTCTGTAAAGTCACGTAGGTAAAAAATTAAATTAATAAAAGTAAAATAAAAACCAAATCATGACGTTTCGGAGGCAACACAAGCTTCCGTCTTCAGGTGGAACCGTCACAGCCCGACTAGCTGTATCAAGTAAATGAGAGATTACAAGAGATACCACTCCGTATATATAATGGTTGAGGGGGGAGGGCCCTTCCCCCCCCCTAAGAATATGAATCCTTGCAGTCACGAAAGCTTCAAATCTAGAATGGGTGCCATGCTTAGGAGATAAGGGCTTCAAACACTGTGTATAGCCCAGGTGACAGGTACTGTTGCGATGTGTGTATCCAGGATGCTGACAGGTGGTGCTGGTGCTATTTGCGATTTCCTCTGAAAGAGGTGATGTGTATAATCCAAGAAATAAGTGTTGCAATGCTCTGTTGTGTCCAAGTAGACAAAGTGTCATACTGGTAGCCCCTGCCAGAGAGGTGTCGTTCTGTGTGTGTAGCCCAGGATACGGAGAGGACGTGTCACGTAGCCAGGAGACAAAAGTGCACTGCGGTGTAGTCCAGGAAATAGAAGGTACAAAACTGTGTATCTGAGGAGACAGGTGCTGTGCTAAGCAGTTTGCGCGACACATGGTGCCATGCTGTATGACCGAGGATTAAAAGTAGTCTTGTGTCATACAGCCGATGGGACAATGATGCCATACTACCTGTGTGTAGTCCAAATAAAAAAAAATGGTGCCTTTCTGTATTACCCTAGAGATATGTGGTGCCATGTCTGGTTGAGAAGGCAAGTGGTATGGTTTGGAGCCAATAATACAAGTGATACTATGTGTGTGTCCTGCGTGCTGTGTGTGTGCACATGTGTATGCAAACTCCATTTGGCCATGTGGAATGCATGGGCCAGATCATCTCAATAACACTGTAGAAGGCTGCTCAACTTTTGTGTAGCCTATGGGCTTGTAATCACCAACACACTGTTCCAGAATCAGCGTATCCACACATCATGGATGCACACCGGGTCCATTAAAGAATATATGCTGAACTATACAATGATGGAACGGAGAATGTAGGCCCATGTCCTTGACACCAGGACCTACCGTGGAGCTGATCTGCCCAATGACCACCGGCTTATCATCTGTAAGATGCACCTGCCATCCTTCCACTGCGGTGGTGGGTGTCCACCGAGGACCGCATTCAAACCCACAATAGCCTGGTCTCGGCTTGCTGATGGAAGGTTGCATGTGCAAACTTCATGATCGTTGCAGCTGGGGTTGGCATCGTCCCCCCCTCCTCTTGATGCCAAGGGGAAATGGGTAGGTTCAGGTGTGTGACTCATCTACTATGGCTGCATTGGGTACACAGTCCAGACCTCCCGAGACAGCCTGGCTGATGAAAAACTACCTGGCCTATCTCTCCATACGAAGCTCCGGGTTTTCTCGGCCACAGCATTACACTCCATTTTCTATACTTGCGAAAACGTGGACCCCCTTTGAAGGAACATCTGTGCCGGTGTGAAGATTTCAGGCTGGCCTGCCTAACATCCATCCTGGGTTTAACCAGACTGAATTAAGTGAGCTTACAGATCCTTAAAAGATCTGGACACAGTCCCATTAGTGATCTCCCTCCAGCAGGCAAGGTTGCGTTGGCTGGGTCGTGTAGCCCGCATACCCAGCCAATGCATGCCCAAGAAGCTTCTGCTTGGCCGGATAGACGGGGCTAAACGTGCGTGGCATGGGCAAGATAATAGATGGTCTGATTGGACTTGCAGGTAACTGGTACCAGCGGTGTCAAGCTCGGCCCCTATGGGGAGGAAGTCCGTGGAGGACCCTGCATGGCAGCTGAGAGGCAACCGCCCTCCAGCAAAGATAAGCAGAAGGGCGATGCTCAAACCAAGCGAGTGCATTGCGCATAAAACTCAGTAAGTTGGCACAGTGGGGGCACTGATGGTGCCACTCTGCTGGTCACGTCAATCAACCAATGGCACGGGGGTATGTCCCGTGACCTCTTGTCGGCGAGCCTTCGACACTTCGCGTGACCTCAATGTGCACCTAGCCTGGTACACACACCGTAGTGGCGATCGGCGGCTCATATCCCAAGTGTTATGTGCGTATCCTTTGTGCTGTGTGTGTATATATCCCGGTTGTTGTGTGAATCACTCGTGCTGCGTATGCATCCCCAGGTTTATAATGCCTGGTACTGCGGTGTTGTGTGTGTGCGGTGGATCCCTGGAGAGGCGGACGCAGCAGTAAAGGAACCCGCCGTCTCCACGACTCCCTACCACCGGGCACATCTGTGCGAAAAGAGCTTTACAGCTCATCGGATTCCTTCAGGGTTAAAAGACTGAGATCCTACGGACGCGTTCGCCCATTGGGGAGAGCGGCTCCAATTTCCCACAACGCTTTAGCTATCCGGCGCATTTTACGCGCGTCTCATTGGCTCGCGCGCCGCCCCCCTCCCCAGCCACGTGACCGACCCAGGACCAATGGGCGAACGCGTTCACACCAAACAGGCGCCTTATCCGCTCTAGGAAATACAAAGCGGTTCCACCCCCCCCCCCCCCCCCCCGTCATCTCTTTATAAACAAATAAAACCAACAACGAACTGCGCGCGGATTCCCTCGCGATGTATTTACCAAACACACGCGCACGACAACAAGGACGGCAACAACAACAATAAATAACCCCCGGCTGTCACAACGAACGAGAATCGACCGCCGTCTCCACCCCCCCAACACCCCGTCCGGCCTGATTTCACCCCAAGCAAGCAAAGCCGCACATTTGTGTTTGTTTGTTTGTTCCTTAAAAAAAAAACTCGGGGCGTGTGTCGTGAGAAGAGGTAAAAAATTCTTTTTTTTACCGACGAAAACAAAAATAACTCGCACGGTAACGAGAGGCGCTTGCGTGCGTGCGTGTTTTTGTGCGGCCGCGAATCTTTTACTCACCGCAATGTGCCTATTCATTGAAGTGAATGGGTTAAGAACCACGGGGAAATCTCTAAGGGATGAAATAATAACAATAACAACAATAACAACAGGAGGAGAGGGAAGAGAAGCGCGCGCCGGACCGCGAGCGAAGCAGCGAGAACTCGCTACCCAGTAGCGTCACCTAGCGGCGTCGTGACGTCACCCAGATACGTGATGACGTCGCCTAGAGGTGTGGGTGGACGTCGCGCAACGCCGTGATGACGTCAGCCAGCGACGCGGTGACGCAATGAAAACGGGGGGGGGGAGGGGGTAACGGTGGGACGATCCCCACGCCGCGTGACGTCACCGCGTCGCGTGATGTTTCACCGCGCGGCGTGACGTCACCGCGTTGCGTTTCACCGCGCGTCGTGACGTCACCGCGCAGCGTGGAGCGACCACCGCTTCGACGTGACGTCACGGCGTTGCCCGGCGTTTCATCACGCGCGTGACATCACCGCGCGACGTGACGTTTGTTGCGCGGTTGTCAGGGTCGCGAGCACCCCCCCCCCACCGCCGCTCGTGACGTCACCCAGCTCCTCCCCACGCCACTGGGCGATTGACGTCATCGAGCGGCTGACGCTAATCCGCCCTTGGTGATGGTGGTGGGGGGGGGTTGTTGCCATGGTCACGCGAACCCCCCCCCCCAACACGCCCCAGCTTGTGACGTAATCTGTCTCGTCTGGTGGGAGGAGGGGGGAGGGGCAGGGAAGCCCACCCCCCCCCCCTCTGTCACCAATATTATCCATAATCCATAATATTGGTCGCGGGTTCGATCGCGTAAATATAAATGTGTCGTTAAGTCGCCACCACCCGACACAGCCGGTCAGGAAGGTTTTTCACGTAAACGAAACGTCCCCAATTTCGTAACTACTTCAGTAAACTCGTGCGTGTGTTGGAGAGTGGACCCACTGCAACATTTACAATTCTAGTCCGACGTTTCGCTGGTGATTACAACACCCAGCTTCATCGGGCGATCAGCCAGAATTGTGAAGACGTCTTCTTGTTTTGGGTCCCGTAATAACTTAAGATTGTAGTCTTGGTTCTTTCGGTAAAGTCACGTAGAAGGGAAAGAATAAAATAATACAAATTACAAAAAAAATCTTGCTGTGGATTTCACACCTGATGATGATTGCTTGTGTTAATTTTCATTTTTTACCTACGTGACTTTACCGAAAAAACCTAAGAATATGAATCCTTGCAATCACGAAAACTTCAAATCTAGTACGCATCATACCTGTCAACCCACACGGTTTACCCCGTATTCTTGTACAGGGAAATTGAGTTCTCAGCTCCATGGGACGTTGTAGGATGACATTTAAGATTTATAAGGGCACGGGGTGACCAATAAGGTCTGAATTGGTTTGTAACAAGGGAGGGCACTGACAAGGGGTTGATTTGTAACAAGGGAGGGCACTGACAAGGGGTTGACGCAGCCAACCTAATCGGAGGTGTGCCGTGTCAGCGCCTCCGTAGGTGCCCGCTAACAGCACTTGCCCCAACAGTCTGTCACAGGCTATACGGGGGATCTTTGTCTTTAGTACTCGCTAACAGCACTTGCCCCAACAATCTGTCACAGGCTATACGTGGGATCTTTGTCTTTAGTACTCGCTAACAGCACTTGCCCCAACAGTCTGTCACAGGCTATACGGGGGATCTTTGTCTTTAGTACTCGCTAACAGCACTTGCCCCAACAGTCTGTCACAGGCTATACGGGGGATCTTTGTCTTTAGTACTCGCAAACAGCACTTGCCCCAACAATCTGTCACAGGCTATACGGGGGATCTTTGTCTTTAGTACTCGCTAACAGCCCTTGCCCCAACAATCTGTCACAGGCTATACGGGGGATCTTTGTCTTTAGTACTCGCTAACAGCACTTGCCCCAACAATCTGTCACAGGCTATACGGGGGATCTTTGTCTTTAGTACTCGCTAACAGCACTTGCCCCAACAATCTGTCACAGGCTATACGGGGGATCTTTGTCTTTAGTACTCGCTAACAGCACTTGCCCCAACAGTCTGTCACAGGCTATACGGGGGATCTTTGTCTTTAGTACTCGCTAACAGCACTTGCCCCAACAATCTGTCACAGGCTATACGGGGGATCTTTGTCTTTAGTACTCGCTAACAGCACTTGCCCCAACAATTTGTCACAGGCTATACGGGGGATCTTTGTCTTTAGTACTCGCTAACAGCACTTGCCCCAACAGTCTGTCACAGGCTATACGGGGGATCTTTGTCTTTAGTACTCGCAAACAGCACTTGCCCAACAATCTGTCACAGGTTATACGGGGGATCTTTGTCTTTAGTACTCGCTAACAGCACTTGCCCCAACAGTCTGTCACAGGCTACACGGGGGATCTTTGTCTTTGTTGGGGTGGGGGTAGTGCGGGTGGCGGTGGTGGTGGTGGGGGGCTCTGAAGTTTCATGCTCGGTGCGCAGAGCACGCGCTGTGCAAATTTGACGAGAAGGGTTTAGTGGCCACGTTGTGTGCTGTGTGCTTAGCGTGTCTGTGGGGGTGGGTGGGTGGGTGGGGGGTTTAATTGCCTCCGTCATGCAATCTCACACCTTTGCCTTGCCTGCCAACAACAGCCCTTTGCAGGTTTCAAACTGGGATGGATAAGCGTTCGGGGTGATGGAGTGACGATGTGAACGCGAAGCCCTCGCATCGTGGCCAGCAGATCTCGACGTTGGCATTTTATCTCCACGTGCCGTACGCACGAATCGAAGAAGAAGAATAAAAAGAAGAAGAGGATTTGGAGGCGTGGGCCTTGTTGCCAAGCTGTCATTGCTGTTGGAATTACACGCGTACAACTGATGAGTCAAGATTACAACAACAAACAACACAAAAGGTAACCCGTAGTCTAATTACGAATATATCGTACAACATGCAATGAAGTTGAACTCATAATTTAGTTATTTTTAGAAAGGGGACTTTTCTAAATAATTGAGTTGCAAAGTAGACTGTACTTACAAATGCTGTTTGGAATATCTAAAACGTGAACAACATGCACGCTATTTCTTAGTCCACATCCGGAACATTGTGTACAAATAATAATAATTTACAACACTTTGTAAATTCATAATTTGATCAATTCCTCCCCATGCCCTCCATCATTCATGGGGGTGTTGCTTGCCCATACTTATTGGCTAGTGCACAAAACACGACACACACCATGCTGTGTGCAAATTTGACAGGGAGGTTTTAGTGGCAACGTGATAGATACACACACGCGAACTCTGGGGGTGTGTTTCGTGTGTCCGCGGACGTGTGGTGCTTGTTGGTGTCACTGCGTCTGTGCCACGCATCTGACTCGCACGTTGCCCTCACTTGATCAGCGCAGTTTCTTTTTTTTGTTGGAACTAAAGCTCAAAGTTGCGGCGGCTAATGGGATGATAATTTGTGCCGAGTGGCCTTTGTCCGGTGCTGAAGAAGGGATTGTTCTGTCACACGGGCGTCAGATTGTCTCCATGACCACTGGGAGGTTTAGAAGCTCAACTCGAGAGGTAAATGTCTGAACAATATATGTAGAGCTCGTTCGTAAATCAATAACATTTAACGGGGGGGTTCTTCATTTCTAATTGTATATGTTGCATTATTTAGTTGAAAAAAATATGAACACAATTTTTGTATGAAAGATCTAAACATTAAAAACGTCAACAAGAGCCGAGACAATGGCTCAGCAGGTAGTGAGCGGCTAGCAAACGGAAAGTTGCGAGGTCAAAACTGTGCCCATCATCCTTCATGGTCGATAAAATATCTACCACTCTGCGGGGATGTCAAGGTTAAGTGTCATGTGGATAGACTTACCATAGGAATGTGGGAATGTCACTACTGGCTCAGATCTGTAAACCGTTGAGCACCGATGCTCATATGAGCAACACATCACTTTAACTTGTTTAACAAATTGCATTCAACTTGGTTTGAAGTTAAAGTAATTGTAGGTATGCTTAACCATTGCCATAATACGTTGAATGTGGGAATGCGTGGCGGAACAGCAGTTTGCGCACTCTTCTATGACTTTGATTCCTGGTTATGGATAAGTGGCAAGTCGTATCTGAATCCGTCCTGACCTCCCCCCACCGTGCCCCTCCATTCACCAACCCACACCGAACCAGCGTGGTGAAATATGGTCAAACAGCTCCCAATGACCGACACGGTGTGGGGGGAGGCCTTCATGCAACAGTGGATTGACAAAGAGCTGTCTGTACATGCGCATTAACTGTACAGTCATCCTAAATTGATAACGGCTGCTCCCTGCTGGTATTGTTTTGTGTTTCGGTCCATACAACTTGTACTTGGGGCAACATGTGGGACCGAAGTGCTTGCCGATGTAGTGATTTTGCTGTGGGGGGGGGGGGGGGGTCAGTGTATAATAATTGAGTTGCAAAGTAGACTGTACTTACAAATGCTGTTTGGAATATCTAAAACATTAACAACATGCACGCTATTTCTTAGTCCACATCCGGAACATTGTGTACAAATAATAATCATTTACAACACTTTGTAAATTCATAATTTGATTAATTCCTCCCCTGTAGAGAGTATTATTAAGGCCGCGTTCTATGTTGTCCACAGCCCTTAGCTGGGATGATTTGTCCAGCCTAAATATTGTATGAGGCTACACGAGACTCATGTAAAAGACCGGTTCACAGGCCCTGCACACCGCTGTTAGGGACTGCATTGGCCGGTCAACGTCAGCCAGGACAGGCGTGATAAGGCACAGTTTTCACCGTCTGCATTAAACGTTGTACGCAGAGAAAGGTCGCGATGATGTTATGTAATACAGAAATACTATTGAGTACTTGAATAAAAGCATGTCAGCAAATATGACTTGAAAGTCAAATGGAACAAACATAAGCACCATTCGGTTTGTTGGCAGATTAGCTGTGAAATGCTTAAAATCACTGTCGAAATTCTCAATGTAAATTGGGCATGTCTGCACTTGTAATCGAGATCGCTTAATAAATGCTGTTAGCCTTTGCTATGGTAAATGTTTCCTTTACAGCGTGTTGATTTCACAATTGTATGTACAAAGCGCACTGCTCTACAATGGGCCATCTATTCAGCCCTCTACAGTGTGTATTGTGTACCCCAGACTCGGCTTGCACTTAAGTTGCTAGGACATCTAAAAACACATACTCAGTCTTTTCAGATTTTTTTTCATACATACGTTGGACAAATGCCAGGATAATGTGCCTTCCATGGTCACGAATCACCTTGAGGTAGCAAAGTACATTGATGTTTTAAATATTGTATTTTACAAAGCCTGTTTTACCATACCACTTGCAAGCGAAAAAAAGTGTTAATGTATCAGCCTGGAACTGCCACAGTAAGTACAAAATGTTAAGAATTCTGATCACATTCAAGTTCATGTATTAACTCTTTCACGCCAATCTGCCGATTGTATAATGCATGAAGATGGGCTTTGACGTAAGAATTGTCTGAGTTACCTATACCGTGATAGGTTTAGTATAATATTTAGTATAAAATCCTGGACATCATCATCATCCAGTCAATCCACTTCTAGATGAACGCCTCCCCAAGCCACTGCCATCTCCTGTGATCCTACGAAATATATTTCTACTCGGCACCTACATACGAGCTTTTTTCGTCACTCCATCTAATCCACGAAATCCTGTCGGACGCGTTCCATTCGTTGGCTATCAACTTTGTCACTAAGCGCACTTTACTTAATAACAGTTTGGATTGTCTTCCACCTGCGTATGTTCCCTTAATCCATGTTCCTCACTCTTGTCTTTAAACGTAATTGTACAGTTCCGTATATGAATTCAAGCCTTGCCGAAAGACCTGATTTTCGCATGTTGAATGTGACAAATATTGCCTGTGCACACATTTGTAATACCAGGTGTAACTTGTCTGTTTGGACAATAAACAAACGGACGTATGAATAGTCAACAAACCGTACGTATTGCACCGATGTGACCCGATCAGCGAAATGTACTCGTTGTGAATGACCATATTCATACAATATTGGATACACAATGTTATTGTAGAGAATATGCAGGCACATTATTAATCATTGATTTATGTCCATCATAGTGGCTTAGCCACTATATTGAAATGTTTCTTGGTGCAAGATATTTTGTGTCCAGTTTGCATTTGGTAAATGCAATACATCAGTTTAACACGTAGGCTTTCGCGACCAATATTATTCATTCATAATCAACGTTTTTTGGTTAGATCGCGTTATTTATAAATGTGTGGTAACCCTCCACCACCCGACACGGCCAATCAGCAAAAAAAGTGTCACGTTGACAAAGGACAAATAGTTTACTACTTTAGCCCACCGGTGTGTTGAAGAGTGAATCCACAACATTTACAGTTTTTGAGTACGCTGGTATCATCGGGCAATTCGCCAGAATGGTGAAGCCCTCACTTGCTCCCGTTCTTAAATAGAGCAGCTGTAAATGTTGTGGATTCACTCTTCAACACACCGGTGGGCTAAAGTAGTGAACTATTTGTCTTTTGTCAACGTGACACTTTTTTACTGATTGGCCGTGTCGGATGGTGGAGGGTTACGACACATTTATAAATAACGCGATCTAACCCAAAAACTGTATTATGAAATGCAATACATGTCAATCCACTACTGAAAACGTGCCTCCCCATGGCATGGTATATACGGATTATTATTGAATCATATTTCACCACACTGCTCAGTGCGGATTTGTGAAGGAGATCAGAGGTGAGAGTTGAATCGCAGTGTAATAACTTATGCTTGCACTGCCCTCTGCTCAACAACAACTAGGTCCGCCGCCATACAAATGGTTAATGCATAGATTGGCCAACGCACATGTCGCAAAGAAAAACGAGCGCAATAACTGCAGAACCCATTAGTCTGTTAGTCAAGCCTCAGAAATGTTCCTTCACACATCAGAGAGTCAACTCAAGCGACGCTGCGCCACGGCTTAACGCATTGTGAAAACCTAATGGAGCCAAAACGTGCATTTCATTGCAAATTTTCCATCGCACTGTGCGCAGATTCATTGTCCGTGTGCCAGCGCGTCTCGAGGACGGCAATGGACGGGACTGCGGAAAGAACGACTGCTCACAGACCGGTGAAATCGGCACTCAAACAGGGCACTCCGAGACACGCGCTGCTGCCTCCTCGCCGAGTCGGCTTCAACCTCGCGCGCACGCAGATCTTCTACGTGCCCCGGGACCAGCCGGTCACTCCGCTCGCTCGTCCGCTGCAAGAATATATCCGTCAGGTGTATCCGTCCTATGCCCTGCCGAGCTCCACGCTCCGGGCGCGGGGAGAGCGCATCGGCCCTCTCTCAGCGAGCTCATCATTGAGCGCGATCAGACCGTCGACCACGCAGTGGGCCCCGCTCTCCAGCAGCGGAACGTTTCGACCGGCGAGCAGCACCTTTGCGTCCCTTCAGCGCGGCAGAGAAAGAATGAGAGGCGACAATAAGAGGATGAACTACGAGGACATGGCCATCATTGCGCGAGGCTATAAGCCGATGCTGAGCAGGTCGTGTGAAAATGTGTTCTCGAGCCGCAGTGATGGAGACAATGAGGTGAAGTCGGTTTTAAGTGAGGACTTGGTCAAGAAGGAACTGTTGCTAGGTTCATCTCTGTGGGATTTGAGGTCAGCACCTTTCCGCAGGTCCATCTCCACAGGAGTGAGCTCCTTTCCAGGCTTCTCTCGCGGGCTTAACCAACACTCAAGGATCACATCCTCTGGACAGGTACATCTATTTTACAATGTTATTTCTTACATAAAGGGGTTCTCAATTTTCAATTCGGTCGTAAAAGCTTACGGAAAAAATGAGACATGGCTCAGTTGTTTGATGGTTTCGATTTAAAGCTTTCGTGACTGCAGGGATTCATCTGCTTGGTTCTTTCGGTAGTCACGTAGAAGGGAAATAATAAAATAATAAAAAACATAAAATACAATTCTCACGTTTCAGCCACAACGCAAGCAGCCGTCCTCATGTGAAGAACTGAGCTGTCAGAAAGACGCTGAGGAAGGCTGCTTGCGTTGTGGCCGAAACATCGTGAGAATTGTATTTTTTTTTTTTTTATTATTTCACTTCTACGTGACTTTACTGAAAGAACCAAAAAGATGTTTGATGGTTGTTCCGCTTGTTGCTTAACTTCTTCTGTAACTAAATTGATTCCGCACAAGTACATAAACATGCGCAGGAATGTATTTTTGTTAAACCATACATGTGGCTAAAAACTCCCATCAATTGTGAGAACAATGTCAAAATGTGGTTAATTTTAACAGGATTGTATCTTTTTAGCTGGCCCTCCATCCCGACGAGAGTTCTACATTCCTGGATTCTCAATTCTCGGTGGCTGATCTTCTCACCCGGCGAGATTTGACCTTTGCTGCCTTCGTTGATCGGACCTCGGCGACAGGAAGACCAAGCCTGCGATCAGAACTTGTGAACACACAGTGCCAAGTGGGAAATCTAACACCGAGAAGGCACCAGCTGTCATTTAACACGTGGACATAACACGTAGACATAATACGTACCTTCCTATAGATCATAGGTTTGTTGGCAATGAATTAAGAGCACTTAATTGTTTTATGTACTGTGTTTCATCATTTTGTGTGCATCTGAAGAGTGAATAATCCTGTCAGAAACATGAATGTAAATCATTTTATTGAATTTTTAGTCATTATTGCATGCTGAATTCTATCAGTTGCTTACCTAACAAAACATATGATATATGGAGAACACAACAATGTTAACATTAAGGAGTTTTTTTTTATTATACAGTAGAATGGAAATCCCTATACATTACATTATAATTTAACGTACGTTTTTCAAATGTTACAAAATAATGAAAGTTTCAAAACAATATGTATTTGAAAGCACTGTTAAACCTGTTTGCTTTAATAAAGTGTGCTAATATTTGCCATGTAGTTAAAACGCAAGGCAAGGTATAAAGATTTACAATTGTTGCAAATAGTGTAACGTTTGCTGGGAAGACCCTAATAAAAGTGGCACACGCCATGTGTAATATTCTTCATCGCCGTTACCTTCCCTTAATTAAAACCGTATACAACGCTCCGCACTTGGACATTACGAAGAACTCTGCCCACTCCTCAGCACGACTCATTACAGTATTAAGGCAATCTTCCAGTTTGGTTTTCAAATGTTGCATGATAATGTTTGGGGAAAAACAAAACCACATTTGTCATTGCCAATCCCTTGAAACAGAACAATATATTGCAGGCTCGCGTTTTTTTTGGCAACGGTCCTTCTACCAGAACACATAAGAGGGTAGAGAGGTGTGTATTGACTTTGTAGTTGGAGTCCACTTTACATCGTACGGCCCTGAGAACACTGAGAAATGTTAAGTCGACAAACAGTTTTGAATTCATAAGTCAACACTTTGCTAATAATAGACAATGTGCTTCAAATGATTATGAAGTAAAAATACATGCACACCCTTGTTTAAATGATAAGTATTAAAATGTTCATATAGAACTCCACAAATGGAAAAGGTAGAGTTCTTTTTCGTTTGTGCTCAAGCCCCACTGCCAACAGACGCTCAGTTGAGTTTTTATTAAGTTAGGGAAACCAAACACAAGGCAATTGTTATGACATTCAGTAAAGTATTCAGAGAGCCAATAAACCATAATCTATACTCTCAAAAAGCCAATAAGATGCAAATTGACTTTTACCTCATCTGTATTTCTCAATGTCATTAAGGTCCACATGCAAATATATGGAATTACGTTTTTTTAATGTTTCTAACTACAATTTTGAGGTGATGCATCTTTACACCTCTTGGAAACCTGTTTAACAAGGTATATACAAATAAAACAAGGAGAGAAGAACATATGTGAAAGAGCAGTGCTGTTTAGACAAGACTTGCTTTCAAAAAGTGAGAAAGTTGGCATAAAACAGCCCCATGTATGTACAGGTACATTGCAATTCTCTTCATCGTCCCAATTGGACGCGCTCACTCAGCAGCGGCCCCCGCAGGCCAAGTTGGCCATTCGACCACATGGCTAGGAGGCGTGCAGATGACGGTTGAAGGCATTGTAGGCGGACTCCAGGTCAAAAAGCATCTGTCGCACCTGTGAGTCGTCCAGCTCGTCTGACGCTGACATGGTGCCCAGTGTCTGCAGCCTGGAGAGATGGATACGGTAGAGCACACATGTAACTACATCCCATTTTTACCATCCACCTGTGTTTGTGTTAAAACAAGACGTATATTTCACGGCGCAGTGTTCTTCATTGCAAGGCCCGCAGGAAAACTGGCAGCCCCTGGTGGCCTTTAGTGCAGCCCCTGATGTGAGGCCCCCGACAATAAACAACATGTGAAAACACCGCCCATCATCAACATCGTGCTGTCAAACCCAATGGTTTCAAATGTGCGGCGGCCCTCACACTGATGTCTTATCGGCGAAAGTGGCTCCCCCCATTGAAAATTGGTGAAGAACACTGTCACAGCGTGAACTCCTACAAGCTACCCATCACCATTGGTGGTCCTGAACCACCAGTGGAAATTATACATTACTTTGTATTATTAATTCTTTAACTTTAATACAGCCAGGCCTCGCGTAGCGCTCAAGACGCGTCCCTTGAGATGTGAGCCCGAATCAAATCGGTGCTAAAAGGGGTCATTGTAACCATTGCATTAATAAACTAAACTGTATTTCACCAGGTAAGGCCCACTGAGCTTTTTCGCTCTTTTTCAGAAGTGACCTGGCCACAAATGATGAGCTCAATGAAGTGGCTTATCATGTGGAAATGCATAGCAGCTGAATACTCTAAACACATGTTTCTAAAAATGTGGAGGGAAAAACCGGAGGACCCGGAGGAAAATTCACTCCACCACAAGGAGAACATGCAAACTCCAAATATTAAGGCGTCAGGGTAGGGATTGAATCCAAATCTCTTGTATACCAGGCGAGGTAGTTAACATCTCGCCACTGTGGCAAGAGGGTGCTCCTAGCCACGTTATTACTTTCATATGAGCAATATATGAGGGCTTCATTGGGGTATCGGTAATAGCGCTAATAAGAATACAGATGGTAATTGATCAACATGTAAATTATGGTGACAAACGATCACCCACCCTTACGCGTTCTTACCAGGTTCTCACTTTCTCTTTTCCCTCAAAGTCCGACGGAATCGAACTCATGCGGTTCATGGTCTCCATGAGCTCTCTCAAGTCAGGATGTATCTGTGAATATTTCAAAACACGTGGATTATCAAGCCACCCGGCCAACACATTTCATCGTTCAACTGCCTGTGACCCAAACAATGAAAAGCTAATTTAAATAACCAGCACTGTAATTGAAAAAAAAATTAAGGTGATTGCCGAAGTTGACCAAACATAAAGCTTAGAGTTATAAATATACTCATGTGGACACGTGGTTCCTTCAGTACATACCTCATCCATGGCTCTTATTTCCAAGCGAAGTTTGTCCATCACTGTGATGAAGAGCTGCGGTATCAAAGATCACAATTGAAATGGTTTAATGCTGAGAATAGTGCTTAACAGCAGATTTTAGCATGTTTAAGAGCATCAATATTATTTTCGTATCCGTCCACCAAAGTCAAATGTCCTTCAAGTGGCGAGAACTTTTCAGCGCTCGGAGGTTGCGACGCTGCAAGATCTTGCACAGTGCAGGGGCCTTGAGCAGGGCTGTTGTATGGTCTGCGCACTCGCCGCATTCGCAGCTCTCTGGTCTGGTGGAGTTCTGCCATTTGGCCACGTTGGTGCATCTTGAGCATCAATAAAAGGGGACATTTCTAGCTCTGACTGTACAATGTATCAATTTTTTCTGTCGCTTGGAATCTGATTGTTTTTTTTTGCAATTGTATACCAATTGTGCTATAAGTGTTATGTCATGGGGTAAAAAGTGTCCATTCAGAAATCTTGCAGAGCAATGTATCACCCCATGCAGGAGGGGGAGTCCGTAACTTTCTGAGATCCATTCAGGTAACATCTATTATTCACAACAAGGGGTGTTGCTCTCTCATACCCGGTGAGATAAATATTAATAAATATAAAAGTTTTTGGTTATTTTTTGTTATTTTCTTTGAATCCTATCTACGTGACTTTACCGAAAGACCCAAATAATATGAATTCCTGCAGTCACGAAAGCTTTAAGTCAAGAGATAAATATTTGTCATGTACAATTTAAATCTGCACTTTACACATCTGTACCGTCACAAAATAGTGATTATCAGAAGATGTGTAACATGCTTGTAACTAAGAATACTCATTGTTAAACTTACCGAAACAATGTCTGCAATACATCTGTTCAAATTTCCTTTATCATCTTTGATGGTTATCGGTCGATCTTCCTTGATTCTTTCCATTGCAAGTGGGCAATCAAGCTGTAAATACAAAATAGTATAATTTAGCTTTCTCCATAATGTATTTTTTTGATGTAATCACAACTTGAATGTGTTCTGAAACTGACATGTTCAAAGAAGTATGGAAATGAGGTGCTCTATGAAAAGGTTTTGCTAAATTACCACAATAGCTTGTTACATCTGTACATACCCTGTACTTCCTACAGAATTCCTCAATGTTCTGAAATTCAGAGCCCTGCACTTGCTTGAAGGCAGCTTTGTACTGCACAAGTAGCCGAGAACAGGCTGCGGTGTACCTGCCAGCACACATCACAAGGTCAACTAAATCTTACAACATGCAAAAATACACAGTATATTAAAAATAAAAATACGTTTAAAACAACGCAAGTATTAAGCAGGACTCAACTGTTTCACGAATACAGCATTTGTATTTGACATATATTATTAGATCATACATTTGTTTGATATATATATTTATGTTAATTAGCTTATGAGTGCCATCCCTGCACCTCAAGACTCACTCATTTGGAGTCACGCAGTCCTTTATGTAGGCTTTCTCAAGAGCTTGGAGTGTTTTCACAACAGCAAAGAGCTCTGCCATGTTGTCAAACCTTATACACGAACAAAGCACAAATGGGCACAAATGAATCAGGTAATTTTGTGGTTGCCGTCACATTAAGCCGAATAAATGTAAAATAAAGGAGTGTCATTTAAACTCCAACAACAAATGCACAGTACTTACTTTTCTCGTTCGCGCGCATTTTTGTACAGCTTTACTTCCTGAAAATAAAATTAACATAAAAAGTTCAAGGGCATTAAACGATGCATCTATGTGAAATTCAACTATGAAGGAATGTATAAAAAATATGGATAAACATTGAACACTTACCTCATACAGCTCAGGATTGTTGGCAGGGGCTGTTGAAATAATGCCAAAATCCAGAAAATCACCAAGTTATCAAAAGAGTATCACAAATAACACACGTCCTGAAACACACATGATACTGTGAAATCCTTGCCAAAATTTTATTCAATCTCATGTGAGCGTACAGATACCCTCGCAAGGGCAGGAGTGCTTTTGAGTTCTTGATCGAACAATAACTTGTCCGTTTCATAAAGATTTTACACTCAAAACAAATATATTAATGCTTTTGTCTTATTCTTCTCAAAAAC